TTTTTTATTATTTTTTATCACACTGGCCGATTCCCACCAAGGCAGGGTGGCCCAAAAAAGAAAAACTTTCACCATCATTCACTCCATCACTGTCTTCCCAGAAGGGTGCTTTACACTACAGTTTTTAAACTGCAACATTAACACCCCTCCTTCAGAGTGCAGGCACTGTACTTCCCATCTCCAGGACTCAAGTCCGGCCTGCCGGTTTCCCTGAATCCCTTCATAAATGCTACTTTGCTCACACTCCAACAGCATGTCAAGTATTAAAAACCATTTGTCTCCATTCACTCCTATCAAACACGCTCATGCATGCCTGCTGGAAGTCCAAGCCCCTCGCACACAAAACCTCCTTTACCCCCTCCCTCCAACCTTTCCTAGGCCGACCCTACCCCGCCTTCCTTCCACTACAGACTGATACACTTTTGAAGTCATTCTGTTTCGCTCCATTCTCTCTACATGTCCGAACCACCTCAAAAAACCCTTCCTCAGCCCTCTGGACAACAGTTTTGGTAATCCCGCACCTCCTCCTAACTTCCAAACTACGAATTCTCTGCATTATATTCCCCACCACACATTGCCCTCAGACATGACATCTCCACTGCCTCCAGCCTTCTCCTCGCTGCAACATTCATCACCCATGCTTCAACCCATATAAGAGCGTTGGTAAAACTATACTCTCATACATTCCCCTCTTTGCCTCCAAGGACAAAGTTCTTTGTCTCCACAGACTCCTAAGTGCACCACTCACTCTTTTTCCCTCATCAATTCTATGATTCACCTCATCTTTCATAGACCCATCCGCTGACCGTCCACTCTCAAATATCTGAATACGTTCACCTCCTCCATACTCTCTCCTCCAATCTGATATCCAATCTTTCATCACCTAATCTTTTTGTTATCCTCATAACCTTTCTCTTTCCTGTATTCACCTTTAATTTTCTTCTTTTGCACACCCTACCAAATTCATCCACCAATCTCTGCAACTTCTCTTCAGAATCTCCCAAGAGCACAGTGTCATCAGCAAAGAGCAGCTGTGACAACTCCCACTTTGTGTGTGATTCTTATCTTTTAACTCCACGCCTCTTGCCAAGACCCTCGCATTTACTTTTCTTACAACCCCATCTATAAATATCGTAAACAACCACGGTGACATCACACATCCTTGTCTAAGGCCTACTTTTACTGGGAAAAAATTTCCCTCTTTCCCACATACTCTAACTTGAGCCTCAACTATCCTCGTTAAAAACTCTTCACTGCTTTCAGTAACCTACCTCCTACACCATACACTTGCAACATCTGCCACATTGCCCCCTATCCACCCTGTCATACGCCTTTTCCAAATCCATAAATGCCACAAGACTCTTTAGCCTTATCTAAATACTGTTCACTTATATGTTTCACTGTAAACACCTGGTCCACACACCCCCTACCTTTCCTAAAGCCTCCTTGTTCATCTGCTATCCTATTCTCCGTCTTACTCTTAATTCTTTCAATTATAACTCTACGATACACTTTACCAGGTATACTCAACAGACTTATCCCCCTATAATTTTTCCACTCTCTTTTATCCCCTTTGCCTTTATACAAAGGAACTATGCATGCTCTCTGCCAATCCCTAGGTACCTTACCCTCTTCCATACATTTATTAAATAATTGCACCAACCACTCCAAAACTATATCCCCACCTGCTTTTAACATTTCTATCTTTATCCCATCAATCCCGGCTGCCTTACCCCCTTTCATTTTACCTACTGCCTCACGAACTTCCCCCACACTCACAACTGGCTCTTCCTCGCTCCTACAAGATGTTGTTCCTCCTTGCCCTATACACGAAATCACAGCTTCCCTATCTTCATCAACATTTAACAATTCCTCAAAATATTCCTCCATCTTCCCAATACCTCTAACTCTCCATTTAATAACTCTCCTCTCCTATTTTTAACTGACAAATCCATTTGTTCTCTAGGCTTTCTTAACTTGTTAATCTCACTCCAAAACTTTTTCTTATTTTCAACAAAATTTGTTGATAACAGCTCACCACTCTCTCATTTGCTCTCTTTTTACATTGCTTCACCACTCTCTTAACCTCTCTTTTTCTCCATATACTCTTCCCTCCTTGCATCACTTCTACTTTGTAAAAACTTCTCATATGCTAACTTTTTCTCCCTTACTACTCTCTTTACATCATTCCACCAATCGTCCTCTTCCCTCCTGCACCCACTTTCCTGTAACCACAAACTTCTGCTGAACACTAACCACTACATTTTTAAACCTACCCCATACCTCTTCGACCCCATTGCCTATGCTCTCATTAGCCCATCTATCCTCCAATAGCTGTTTATATCTTACCCTAACTGCCTCCTTTTTTAGTTTATAAACCTTCACCTCTCTCTTCCCTGATGCTTCTATTCTCCTTGTATCCCATCTACCTTTTACTCTCAGTGTAGCTACAACTAGAAAGTGATCTGATATATCTGTGGCCCTCTATAAACATGTACATCCTGAAGTCTACTCAACAGTCTTATCTACCAATACATAATCCAACAAACTACTGTCATTTTGCCCTACATCATATCTTGTATACTTATTTATCCTCTTTTTCTTAAAATATGTATTACCTATAACTAAACCCCTTTCTATACAAAGTTCAATCAAAGGGCTCCCATTATCATTTACACCTGGCACCCCAAACTTACCTACCACACCCTCTAAAAGTTTCTCCTACTTTAGCATTCAGGTCCCCTACCACAATTACTCTCTCACTTGGTTCAAAGGCTCCTATACATTCACTTAACATCTCCCAAAATCTCCTCTCCTCTGCATTCCTCTCTTCTCCAGGTGCATACACGCTTATTATGACCCACTTCTCGCATCCAACCTTTACTTTAATCCACATAATTCTTGAATTTACACATTCATATTCTCTTTTCTCCTTCCATAACTGATCATTCAACATTACTGCCACCCCTTCCTTTGCTCTAACTCTCTCAGATACTCCAGATTTAATCCCATTTATTTCCCCCCACTGAAACTCCCCTACCCCCTTCAGCTTTGTTTCGCTTAGGGCCAGGACATCCAACTTCTTTTCATTCATAACATCAGCAATCATCTGTTTCTTGTCATTTGCACTACATCCACGCACATTTAAGCATCCCAGTTTTATAAAGTTTTTCTTCTTCTCTTTTTTAGTAAATGTCTACAGGAGAAGGGGTTACTAGCCCATTGCTCCCGGCATTTTAGTCGCCTCATACGACACACATGGCTTACTGAGGAAAGATTCTTTTCCACTTCCCCATGGACAACAGAAGAAATAAAGAGGAACAAGAGCTATTTAGAAAAAGGAGAAAAACCTAGATGTATGTACATATATATATATGCATGTGCGTGTCTGTGAAGTGTGACCAAAATGTAAGTAGGAGTAGCAAGATATCCCTGTTTAAATATTATGTAAATATTATGCAGAAAATTTGGAGTGTGGAAATTAGGAAAAGGTGTGGAGTTAATAAAAGTATTAGTCAGAGGGCAGAAGAGGGGTTGTTGAGGTGGTTTGGTCATTTAGAGAGAATGGATCAAAGTAGAATGACATGGAAAGCATATAAATCTATAGGGGAAGGAAGGCGAGGTAGGGGTCGTCCTCAAAAGGGTTGGAGAGAGGGGGTAAAGGAGGTTTTGTGGGCAAGGGGCTTGGACTTCCAGCAAGCGTGCGTGAGCGTGTTAGATAGGAGTGAATGGAGACGAATGGTACTTGGGACCTGACGATCTGTTGGAGTGTGAGCAGGGTAATATTTAGTGAAGGGATTCAGGGAAACCGGTTATTTTCATATAGTCGGACTTGAGTCCTGGAAATGGGAAGTACAATGCCTGCAATTTAAAGGAGGGGTTTGGGATATTGGCAGTTTGGAGGGATATGTTGTGTATCTTTATATGTGTATGCTTCTAAACTGTTGTATTCTGAGCACCTCTGCAAAAACAGTGATAATGTGCGAGTGTGGTGAAAGTGTTGAATGATGAAAGTATTTTCTTTTTGGGGATTTTCTTTCTTTTCTGGGTCACCCTGCCTCTGTGGGAGACGGCCGACTTGTTGGAGAGAGAGAGAGAGAGAGAGAGAGAGAGAGAGAGAGAGAGAGAGAAAAAAAAAAAGATGGCATATGTTGAGAAAGAGAAGAAAAAAAAAATACTTTTAATATCTCTTACTTACACTGTTTAGTTTCACCTAGTCATACCTTATTTTGTAATTTTAGTCCAAGGATGGGAATAATTTAATTGGTAATAATAATTTAATAAAGACTGCACATGTGAAAAAATTCTCCCTACATACAAAATAAAGTATATTATCTTTGATATACATATTATAAAATTAAGTACTAAACCCAAAAGGGTCATATAGCACTGCAAGGAACATGCAGAGGTTAGGAGGGAGTGAAGGGCAGAAATTTGCAAGAGTAAGGGGTACCAGCAGGTAGGGAAGAGGGAAAGAAGTAAATTAAATCAAAGCTGTTGCAATAAGTTAGTTTCTATTAAAGTCAGTGCAGGTCTCTGTATTAGAGGTGGGACTTTCAGCAAAGACAGATTGTTGGGATCTTGGAGACATCTGAAGGGGATTCCAAGTGTGCACTGAAACAGGAAAATCTGTTAAGATGTTGTGAACTAACTGCAACCAGAGTCCTCGCAGAGAAGTGCCAGGCGTTTTTCCACGAGGTATCTGCGAGCAAGATGTGTATCACAAATATGAAGGTAGGAGAGTGCAGCCTTTCCAAACATGACAGCAGTGGGAAGATGGCCAAAAACTCAAAACATGGTTTGACAAAGTACAATTTTTTTGTGGTCCAACACAGACCACTGCTTGTGCCAGTCTTACGTGGATTTTAACCATTACTAATGCATTACAGCCAATTACTTTTGTTTTTTAAAAATCACCAAAAGTAACACAAAAAGCACCTCATGATCCGCTAGACTATTCAGAACCCGAGTCATGTGTCACATGGAGAAGTAACACAAAAGAATTTTTGTAGTTTATTCAGCGATTCAAAGCAACAGGTGCTACTTATAGTATTGAAATAATATAAATTATATATGCCATGGTTGAAATGTAAATCATAAAAAGGTTACTTATGAAAGCAAAAAAATAAATTTACACTAGTCAGAATTATGTCTGGACATTAGCCACAACAGAAGTACAGTGGACCCCCGGTATTCGATGGCATCGGTATTCGATAAATCCGGTTTTCAATGCATTTTAACGCAAAAAATTTTCCTCGGTATTCGATACAATTCGTACGAGACCTGTCCACGTGTGGCCTTAACTGCTCCATGTGTGCTAGTGTTTACAAGCCAGCCAGTGTGCGCGCATCTAAGGATACATTCGGTACATTCCATATTATCCATATTATCACTGTGTTTGGTGCTTGTTTCTGCAAAATAAGTCACCATGGGCCCCAAGAAAGCTTCTAGTGCCAACCCTTCGAGAAAAAAGTCGCTAATGACTTATGAAATGAAGAAAGAGATAATTGCAAAGTACGAAAGTGGAGTGCGTGTGTCGGAGCTGGTCAGGTTGTATAATAAACCCCAATCAACCATCTCTACTATAGTGCCCAGGAAAACAGCAATCAAGGAAGCTGTTCTTGCAAAAGCTGCAACTGTGATTACGAAACAGCGACCGCAAGTGTTAGAAAATGTTGAGAGATTGTTACTGGTGTGGATAAATGAAAAACAGATAGCAGGAGATAGCATCTCTCAAGCGATCATTTGTGAAAAGGCTAGGCAGTTGCATGACGATTTGGTAAAGAAATTGCCTGCAACTAGTGGTGATGCGAGTGAATTTAAGGCCAGCAAAGGTTGGTTTGAAAGATTTAAGAATCGTAGTGGCATACATAGTGTGATTAGGCATGGTGAGGCTGCCAGTTATGTTGTGTGACAGAAGTCCAGTGACTCTCAAGCTGGTCCTAGTGGCATTAAAAGAAGGGAAGTAACCCCGGAAATGGACTTGCTACCTCAAGTCCTAATGGAAGGGGATTACCCTTCGAAACACTAACACCTCTCCCCTCCTCCCATCCCATCAATCATCACCAGATCTTCATTAAAGGTAAGTGTCAATTATTTTATTGTTATTGTAATTATTCTATTGCATTAAACTTAATATTTCATGTAGTAAAATTTTTTTTTTATACTTTTGGGTGTCTTGCACAGATTAATTTGATTTCCATTATTTCTTATGAGGAAAATTGATTCGGTTTTTGATATTATCGGTATTCGATGAGCTCTCAGAAACTGATTAATATCGAATACCGGGGGTCCACTGTATTATTAATGGCATTACTAATGAAAAGGGTTAATCAAGTCTTATTTATACAAGCATAATCCTGCCAACAGAATATTTGGCAATTGGTATTTAATTTTTTTCAAATACAGTTTAAAATTGACATTTGAATTCAAAGCAGAATTTCAGCAAGGAAACTATGAAACAAGTATCTTAATACTGTCATATAATAAACCATACAAATTATTACATACTGATACTCAAATGGTATTTGGAAATTATGTTGTTTACCAAAAATACCAAGTATAATACACAAATGCAAGATACAAATGACGCAGATACAAGATGACACTAGCGCATAAAAATTAGGAACTTTAAAACATAGTAGATGCAATTATACATACGAATGGCAGCAATGTGAAACCTAACTGCAATCATTACATAAATCCAAGAGTATATATTACATAAAAAAGAAATACAGATTAACCCAACAAACTTTAAAAGGCTGTATCCATAGATGTACATGACAGCCATACAATAAAAAAAAAAAGTAGGTAGGTGCCAAGAACTTCAAAAATAATTTTACCAGTGATTATGCTAACCAGGGGAAAACTAAATACAATGTTCTAAACTATCCCATATTCACCATGGAGCCCAAACAACAATAAGGGTGTCTGTATTAAGACACTAGTTCAGTCCTCCTGACGAGAACAGAAGAACTTTCTTCTGTTGCTTCTTCTTCTTCTTCCCCTTTTTGCCTGCTTCCACAGTTGATGCTACTTCTGCCTCAGCTGTAAATAGTAAAGAGTTTTGTGATTTATAAAGCACTAACAATAAAAATCTGTTCGCTTTATGCTGGTAATGCTTAAGTTCTAAACAGTACTCAATGCAGTGGAGGAGTGAAATACACGATACGGTAGGACCCCGTTTTACAGCAATTCGCATTACAGCGTTCCACTAATGTCTGGAAACTTCCAAAAATTTCAAGCATTTTAAAGGGTGTGTAAAGGGAGATAGTTGAAAGTGAATAAAGATAAGAGAAAGGTGATGAGGGTATCAAACAATTTAGATAAAGAAAAATTGGACATCACACTGGAGGAAGAGTATGGAAGAAGTTAATGTTCTCAGATATTTGGGAGCTGACCTGTCAGTGGATGGGTTTATGAAGGTGGTGGTAAACCATAGAATTGATGAAGCAAAAAAGGCGAGTGGTGCGTTGATGTATCTATGGAGACAAAGAACATTATTTATAGACACAAAGAAGGGAATTTATCAGAGTACAATGGTACCAACACTCTTATATGGGAGTGAAGCATGGGTTGCAAGTGCTGCAGCGAGGAGGTGGCTGTAGGCAATGTGTGGTGTAGATATTATGCAGAGAATTCGTAGTGTGGAAATTAGGTGGTGTGGAGTTACTAAAAGTATTAGTCAGAGGGTTGAAGAGGGGCTGTTGAGGTGGTTTGGTCATTTAGAGAAAATGGATCAAAGTAGAATGACATGGAGAGCACATAAATCTGTAGGGAAAGAAAGGCGGAGTAGGGGTCATCCTCGAAAAGGCTGGAGGGAGGGGGTAAAGGAGGTTACGTGGGCAAGGGGCTTGGACTTCCAGCAAGCATGTGCGAGCGTGTTAGATAGGAGTGAATGGAGAATGGTTTTTGGGACCTGACAAGCTGTTGGAGGGTGAGCAGGATAACATTTTTTGAAGGGATTCAGGGAAACCGGTTAGCCAGACTTGAGTCCTGGAAATGGGAAGTACGTACAATGCCTGCACTTTAAAGGAGGGGTTTGGGATACTGGCAGTTTGGAGGGACTTCTGAACTGTCATATCCGAGCACCTCCACAAAGACAGTGATTATATACGAGTGAGGTGAAAGTGTTGAATAATGATTAAAGTATTTTCTCTTTTGGGGGATTTTTTTTCTTTTTGGGTTACCCTGCCTCAGTGGGAAACGATTGAAGTGTTAAAAAAAAAAAATGCAATAATAATCACTGACGCACATTAACCCTTTCACTGTTGAGAGCCCTGATCTCAGTGTCGAAAAATATTCGGAAAAAAAAAAAAAATCATTTTTTCTTATATGATAAATAATCTTTCTGTAGGTAATAAAAAGTATGAAATTTGATGGAAAATTGACAAAATTATGCCACTGTGAATTTTGTGGCATCAGCAATATTGATGCATCGGCAATTTTTACCGAGTCCTATTTTAGGCCAATTACATTGTTCCAGTCAACCAAATTCTTAGCTACTTCACTAGTATGCCTTCCATTTTATCGACTGAGCACAAGAAACTGCCCAATCAATATTTCAACTACCCAATAGTAATCAGAAATTTTTAATATGGCCAATTTCACACAAATTTCAAAATATTCTAATTTCAAAATAGGGTCTAGAATAAACAATGCAGGCATTCCTGGCACTTAACCCTTTGACTGTCACGACCCCAAAGTCTGAAGTCTCTCTCTGTGTTGCAAAATATTTTGGGAGGAGAAGAGAAAAAAAAAAAAATTATGAAATGATAGAGAATCTTTTCCCAACGGTAATGACATCAGAAGTATGCAAATGATGGTAACGACACTAAAAGCTCACTATCTACGTTCTTGCGAAGTTAGCGAGTGTAGGCAGCGATCTTGGCAATATATACGCGTCAGCGATTTCGCCCACACTAAGCCCTATTTTCGGCCAATTCTGCTGTTCCAGTCTGCCAAACTCTCAGCTATTTCTTTAGAACTCTATTTGTTATATCGACTGAGTACAAGAAACTGTCTATTTACCAATTTCAACTACCCAATAAAGTGGTCAGAAATTGGTAATTTGGCCAATTTCATGCAAATTAAAAAAGATGCCAATTTCAAAATAAGATCTAGAATAAACAATGCAGACATTCCTGGCACTAAAATAACACTGTCTGTTCATTCATCAGGTCTCCAGGCCCCTTTTATATTACTCTTGCTATTTTAAATTTTATTCAAAAAAAAAAAAAAAAAAAAAAAAAAAAAAAAAAAAAAAAAAAAAAAATTACTGTTATGCAGACTACTGCATAATTGTGAAAATGGTATAAATAATATCAGTGCATTTGTGAAAGAATATCAGATTTGCCAGTTGACGAGTATTGGACGCACGGGGTGATTTGTTTACTCTTGAACATCAGCAAAACTCAAACACTTCCGCTACTTTGAGCTCAATTTCAAGGTCCTTGAAGGTCTCCATTTCTGTAATATGTCTTCCATTCTATCACATGAGACAAAGAAAACGAAAATACAACCATAAATAATATACGAAAATACACCTCAAATTTGGCGTTTTAATCCAAAATCACTTGTTTTTTTCTCATTATGCACAGCGTGCTGCAGGATTTTTTTTTATTATACCGAGCGCACTGACCAAATAGACCCATTTTCTCATATGTGGGCCTACCAGCTTTCTCCCGCTTGGATTTGAAGCCACTAGAATTTTGACATTAATACATCAAACACTGGCTTGCAAGATGTATATATACGGCTGAAACAGTCAAAGGGTTAAATAACATTTCCTCTGTTCATTAGTTATGTTTCCAGGCTTTACACATGAATGCCAGTTTTGATTTTTTTATTCACGCCAAAAAAAATAATTTGCTGTTATGCAATATTGTAATAATTGTATAAATGATGTCAGCGCATTCATGAACGCATATTGGATGCATGATGTGATTTGTTTACTCTTGAACACCAGCAAAAAATTTAACATTTCCACTATTTTTAGCTTAATTTTAAGCTATTGTCAGTCCTAAAATCAATCAAAATCATCTCTATTTATGTAGTATATCTTCCATTCTATCAAATGAGACCAAGAAACTGGGAATACAACCATAAAAACCATATGAAATACACCACGAAGTTGCAGTTTTAAACCAAAAACACGGTTTGTTTTTTCCTTCATTAACCCTTTGACTGTTTTCGACGTATAAATACGTCTTACGAGCCAATGTTTCTGACGTATATATACTCAATAATTCTAGCGGCTTCAAATCAAGCGGGAGAAAGCTGGTAGGCCCACATGAGAGAATGGGTCTGTGTGGTCAGTGTGCACCACATAAAAAAAAATCCTGCAGCACACATTGCGTAATGAGAAAAAAAAAACACTGATCGTTTTTTTTGGAATAAAACGCCGACTTTGAGGTGTATTTTCGTATAGTGTTTATCGTTGTATTCGCATTTTCATGGTCTTAGGTGATAAAATGGAAAACATATTACAGAAATAGAGATGATTTTCATTACTTTGATGAAAACGACCTTGAAACTGAGCTCAAAGTAGCGGAAATGTTTGATTTTTACCAATGTTCAGGAGTAAATAAATCACACCACACGTCCAATACACGTCAACTGGGGAGTCTAATATTCTTTCACTAGTACACTGATATTATTTATACCATTTTTACAATAATGCAGTAGTCTGCATAACAGTAAATTTTATATTTTTTTGTATGAATAAACAATCAAAATAGAAAGCAGTAATAATATAAGAGGGGCCTAGAGATGTGACTAATGAACAGAGGATATGTTATTTTAGTGCCACGAATGTCTACCTTGTTTATTCTGGACCCTATTTTGAAATTGGCATCTTTTTTAGTTTGCGTGAAATTGGCCAAATTGCCAATTTCTGACCACCATATTGGGGTTTAGTCCAAATTAGTAAATGGGAGGTTTCTTGTACTCAGCTGATAGATAAAATGGAGTTCTAAAGAAATAGCTATGAGTTTGGTCAACTGGAACAATGGAATTGGCTGAAAATAGGGCTCAATTCGGCGAAATCGCCGATACACATTATGTCGCGAAGACCGCTAACTTCGCGGGAGCATATTCCATGAGTTTTCGACCAAATTTCGAACTTTTGATGTCATTACCATCGGGAAAAGATTCTCTATCATTTCCTAAGAAAAATACAATCAAAATTACTTTGAAAAAATTAAGCGACTTAATATTCCCAGTTTCTGCAGAAAGAGGGGAAAAAGCAAATTAAAGCAATGACTGCTGCAGATTCTTTGTATATATGGTTTTGCATTTTTACTAACAGACATTATTTATCTAAGCCCAAATTTACTGCTCAGCTTCATTACACTGATCAAAGACATTTTGGGCGTTTATATGGCATTTTGAGGGCCTGGTTGCAAAGCCTTTATAGCTATAAACGGATCCCTAAATTTGGAGGGGGTTGGGGATTTTGAATGTTTGGTGTGACAATTCTAAATCAAGTCACACAGGACCCTAATGCAAAGAAGTAAATTATGAAATTGAATGGTTGAAAGATTCAAAACCTTCATTTAAAAGGTCACCTGCCTCAATTGTGGGGAGAGTGTTCAAATGTGTAGTAGCAGATTTACCCAAAAAAATTGAACCCCAAATTGAAATATAAGTTTAATTCTGAGGCTCAATTTTATATCTACCCCATTTAAGACAGAATGATACCGATCAAAGCTTTGTAGCAATATCTACTACAGAAATCTTGTGTAACATGCATCATACAAGGTTTAATGCATTTTTTATCTATAATGTAAAAAATAATTTAATATACGCAAAATATATTTTTAGCCTTTGCTTACAACTGCATTCAAGAACATTTTGGTTATTGGATCTCTAAAGGGGGACTTTTGGGGAAATGCCAATATTTTATTGTTCCTTTATTTTATTTTTTTTATAAACGATAACCCTAAATTGAGGGATTGAGTTTTAAAAATGCTTGTGTGGGGCCAGATTTTTCAGAATCAAGTGCGGGTACCCTAAGACAAAAGAAAGTAAATTATTAAAACTTGTAAGTGTTGCATAACACCCAAAAAACCCTCATGGATAGTTTAAAAAGGTTAAAAACAGTGCTCTTAATTTGATGGTAATGGAGAGTGAAATTCAAATGTGTAGGTGCAGATTTGACCCTTTTGTGTAAAACCGAGATTTTGATTACCGTTTTACCATTACATTAAAAATATACGAGTCCTCCCATTCTGAATGGCTCCAGCATTTATCGACTGATCCATCTTACAGACAGGATAATACCGATTCAGATTAGCTTGTGTGAGCAAGTTTATCCATGCAATAAAAATTTCTTTTAAACTTGGAATCTTTGGAATTTTTTATCAAATTGGACTCTTAAAAACCACTTATAGTTTAAATTTGCTGAGTCAAGTGAACCCTTATATGAATTTCTCAATACTTTACCCAATTAGCTTCTAATTTCAAACCCTGGTCAACTATTACCAGGTAAATATTCACTGAGCACTGTGTGAGAAGGTGCATTCTGCTCAATTTTATAGAAACCATTTACAAAATTCATTTCAGCAAGATCCCCTTTTGATTGGCACCATAATTTCAGGTGTCAGCAAATTATTAATTTATTCTTATTGCATGTGAGTGCATGTGCACACTCACACACTTACTTTTTTTTTTTATCACAATGGCCATCTCCCACCAAGGTAATATGACTTTAAATAGAAATATTCACCATCGTTTACTCTCACCACTATATTTCAGAGGTCCCCAAACTGCAAAATCACCACCCCCTCCTTCAGAGTGCAGGCACTGTGCTTCCCACCTCCAGGACTCCAGTCTGGAGGTGGTAACATCTGTGAATCCCTTCACAAATGTTGCCTTGCTCACACACCAAGAGCTTGTCAAGTCCTAGAACTTCAAACACGTACATTTATCATGGTGGTGTTTCAAGATTATCCCACTGCTTTCTCATTTATTTACTATGCTATCCACTTTAATATCAACTACTAACATATTCAACATTTATGTAAGTACACCTAGAGTAAATGAATGACTTAACAGAACAGCAGTGTGCAGCTACAGAGTAAGTTATCAGCTACTAATCATCTTTTACAGGCTTTTAGCTATTTTTCTATATTTACAAACATGACTGTGTCATGATTGAAAAACTGCAGCAATTTTTCACACACAAACATCCTGTAAGGTCATGTCTTAATACACGGTCTACGGTACCTATATTGGAAGATTTACAGTAAGAGTTCTCAACGGATGACACTCGTGCAAATTCTAGTGTCTACAAATGATAGTGCTATGATTTAAATCTTTGTCTACCAGATGTGGAGATGAGGAAAAGGACAGGGGCAAGTACTGTACCTTGTGGAACAAAGCTTTTCACTATGGCAACCTCTTGACTTAACCCTTTACATTCTGTATTAATATTGGTAGAATTACTGACAATATGTTAAGTAAAAGGACAAATGCAACTACTGTAACGGCCGTTACATTAGTTGCATTACTAACGTAATGGCCGTTACGGCTTGACAAAGCTCCTGGAGAGCTAAACGCTGCCGCGATAAAATGTCACATTAGTTGCATTTATGTCCTTTTACTTTTTGTAAGTTGGAAAGTTAAAAATCCATTTGCCCACTTTTCCAGTTATTCCTCTTGCATGCATTTTGTGTGCTGGTGTAACAGCACACAAAATGCACTTGTTAAAGGCTTTTGCAAAGAACATATGATACATCTGCATTTGTCCTCCAGTGCATTCAAGACAAATAGCAGGAGCAACTTGCTCAAAATCCAGGCTGCCCAGGGTTGTGCAATTTTTGGAATCTAAATGGTTAGCAATCTTGCTTCTTAAAACCCTCTCAAAGATTTTTATGTTAATGTTAGTGAAATGGAACTTTATCCATTGTTTTTAAAGTGCAGGCATTGTACAGTGATCATATCTAATATAATACAGTCTAACCCAGTTAGTGATAACCTTATGAAATAATAACTAATAAGAAGAAATTTGAGCATGGGAAAGCCATCAAGCCAACAGATGGATAATTTAATCTATTAGCAAATAGCATACCAGCAAAAATATTGGATAATCATACTCTGCAAATGTGAAAGCCAGCAAATTTGTAATACCAACCATAAATACAGTAATAAATTATCTAAGTATTAACCAAATGTAGATCTTTAACCCTTAAATGGTCCAAACGTATATATACGTTTTTTCAACATCTGAAAGTATGTAAAAAAATGTAATCTTTTTTTTTTGTTTTACATGTGAAAACGTGTAAAAAAAACTTTTATCTACTTATTTTTTTTTTTGTTATATTTGAAAATATGTAAAAAAAGTAGATCTACTTTTGTAGCACTACGAATTTGAACGTCGATCTGTTTGGACCGTTTAAGGGTTAAATAGGAAAATATTTCAACTAAACCATTATTCACCTGCAGATTTCTTTGCTGCAGCATCCATAGCCCTGGCCACAGCATCACTAAAAGCATGCTTAAATTCTGGCACTGCCAAACACTCTTCCTCATCACTGCAGTTACCAGGATTTGTAGAAGCTTCACCCTGCAGATTTGCTCGTTTTCCTTCCCAAGGTCTGCTGCTTATGCCAGAAGAGCAACCTGTAAATGCAATGAATAAAGTTAAAAAAAAAAAAAAAAAAAAAAAAAAAAAAAACAATGAATATAGGTAAAATAAACTTCTCAGCCTACAAGTAACTTCCTAAATAATCCTTTGTTTCAAAATATACCAATAAAATTATAATACGTACACTAAAAAAAATGAGTTCACTTGGTTTAGATTTTACTGAAAGCAAGCATTATTTTGTGTGCAAGTTTAAAGGCAGTTAGAAAAGTATAATGGATGGTGCAGTAAGTCTTGATGAGGAAGATTCAGTCATTACCCCTTTCATTGGGTTGTGAAGTGGACGTAGATTTATGTGCACATTATAGCACCCTCAAACATGAGGCAAGCACCAAATTTTGGGCTAGACGTGAAAGAACGGGTCTGTGTGGTGGGTGTATGCAATACAAAAAACAATCCTGCTTTACACACTGCATGATGGGAATAGTTCCTCTGACCTTGTGTTTGGTTAAAATAGCAACTTTAGGACATTTTCAGGGGGTTTTGTGGTTTTAGTGTGTGTTTCTTGGTGCCAATTAATAGATCATAAGATATACTAGTGAAATAAAAAACTTTTGACTGGTTTCAGACAAAGTGGCCTGAAAAAGACTTCCAAATAACAGAAATGGTCAATGAATGATTTTCCCTGGGTTGGGGCTGTCTCCCCACCCTCCATCTTATTTTCTGGGTTTTTACTAGATCTGCTTCAATTATAGTAGCACCTTGGTACTCTTAACTACTCTCAATTTGAACAATTCAGTATTCGAACACGTTGTTCAGTAAAAGAATTCGCCTGGTAGTCGACCATTTGCTTGGCACTCGACACTTGCTTTAGTGGCTGGAAGGCCCCAGTGTTTGTTTTGGACTGTTTTTAAACTGGAATTTGTTTAAAAGTGTAAAACTGGCCAAATTATAGACTTCTGGGCATTTCTAGGTAGTTCTGAATAGATGAATGGCATTTTCTTGCTTTCAGCGAATAGTATTGAATGCATACTAGTGAAATTGGCACAAACAAGGTCATTTTGAGCAATAGAATTGGCCTAAAATAATCCTCAAAGTGGATAAAATCACTGTTGAATGAAGCTTTTCCTGACCTCCAACTTCAAGCTTTCATTATTCAAATTTTGCATTTTTTCTGGTGTCATTACCATAAGAAAAAGTTATCTACGATACAATTTTTTAATGGGCTTCCAATTTAGGGGGTGTCGAGAGTGAAAGGAGTTAAAAGAGTGACAAGGCCTGCACAAGTAAATAGTACAGTGGTACCTCGGGATGCGAACTTATTTCGTTCCAGAAGGCTGTTCGAGTGCTGATACAGAACGAATGTTCTCATAAGGAATAACAAACATGATTAATCCATTTCAGACCCCCCCCAAAATACACTTACAAAAGCACTTGCATAATAACACTCACGTAAGTGTTCGCGTTTTGAGCTGTTCGTATCCCGAGGTACCACTGTATTTATGTAAAAGCACAGGCATTTACCTTTGCTTTACCCATGACTGGTTTAAGGTTTCTGGTACCCTCACAACTCAGCCTGAGGCCAATTTTCACTGCTGACCTCCAGGTCAACCAAACTGCTAATGTTAGTGACTTGTAGGCTCTCACAGCCATCACAATCCAGTTTAATATCATTTATTGTTAAAATTTTGGAAGGAAAAGACTAAGTATATTTACACAAATGACCCGCACATAGAAGAGAGGAAGGAGCTTACGACGACGTTTCGTTCCGACTTCGACCATTTACAAAGTCACACTAATGAAAAGTAGAGTTAGGCTTGCCGACTAACAATGCTCTTTTCTGTCACGTCAGAGATCACAGCCATCCTAATGAGTGGTCTTCTGCTAAAACTGTCTTCCCTACTTCCAACTTTAACAGTTGCCATCTGGTTGAATCCTCCCTAATACATAACTTTCCTTGTATGAATCTTAATCCTGGCTTCGTCTCTGTAGATGCCTTCCTCTCCCACTACATTATAAAATGCTCCAAACTTCAGAACACCTGTGACTTAACCTGATTCCTCCTCTTTCTTCTTCTCCCTCTTCCCCTTTCCTTTTTCTCTTCTGGGTTGTCTGTATTTCCTCTGCCTTGTGTTTCTGTTCCTTCTTTATTTTATTATTCCCCCCCCCCCACCTCTGTGTTCTCACTCTCCCTCTGTGGGCACCTAGCTCCCTTGCAGTGCTCCCCTTTTGTATTTGACTGGCTCCTCCTCCTTACTTCCTCACTACTACTTCCTTCCACCTCTGTTCCTACCACCACTACTACTACTACTACCACTTCCTGCTTATATATACCCATCCTGCTCTACTTCTCATTAGTGTGACTTTGTAAATGGTCCAAGCCGGACCGAAACGTCGTCGTAAGCTCCTCTCTTCTATGTGCGGGTTATTTGTGTATCGTTCCAGTCATGGTATTGTGCCTTTTTTTTTGTTATCTAAGTATATTTATTTTAACCCTTTCAGGGTTTCAGACGTACTAGTACGGCTTACGCACCCGGGTCCATGACGTACTAGTACGCCTAAATTCTAGCGCCCTCAAATCTAATGAGAGAAAGCTGGTAGGCCTACATATAAAAGAATGGGTCTATGTGGTCAGTGTGCGCAGTATAAAAAAATTCCTGCAGCACATAGTGCGTAACAAGAAAAAAACTTTGACCGTGTTTTTGGATTAAAACAGCGACTTTGCACTGTATTTTCGTATGGTATTTATTGTTGTATTCTAGTTTTCCTGGTCTCATTTTATAGAATGGAAGACATATTACAGAAATTGAGATGATTTTGACTGGTTTTACAATGAAAAGTACCTGGAAATTGAGCTCAAATTAGCAAAAAATGTTCGATTTTTACCAAAGTTCAAAAGTAAGCAAATTATGCTAAGCATCCGATACACGTCAACTGGCGAGTCTAATATTCTTTCACAAGTGCGCCGATATTATTTATACCATTTCTACACTAATGCAGTAGTCTGCATAACAGTAAATCTTCTATTTTTTGTGAGAATAAAATTTCAAAGTGGAAAGCAAAAGAATGTAAGAGGGGCGTGGGGAAGCGACTAATGAACAGAGGAAATGTTATTTTAGTGCCAGGAATGTCCTTCTTGTGTATTCTGGACCATATTTGGAAATTGGCATCTTTTGAAATTTGTGTGAAATTGGCAAAATTGCTAAATTCTGACCACTGTATTAGTTGAAATTGGTAAATGGGTGGTTTCTTGTACTCATTCAATAGAAAAAAATGGAGTTCTAGTGAAATAGCTATGACTTTTGTCGACTAGTACACTGGAATTAGCTGAAAACAGGGCTCAAAGTGGGCAAAATCACCGATGCGTAAACATCGTTGAGACCGCTAACTTCACGAGAGCATAATTCCGTAAGTTTTCCATCAAATTTCATACTTTTGGTGTCATTATGCTCGGGAGAAGATTCTCTATCTTTTCATAAGATTTTTTTTTTTTTTTTGAAATTTGGGCCACCCTGAGAACAAGTCTCAGAGGGCCTGGGGACCCTGAAAGGGTTAATGAAAAAAAAGTGGAAATTAAAAAAAATCTGCTTGGTCATGTGATTATATTAAATATACCATGCAGAGGAAATAGACATAAAATGAGTAAAAATGAAGGTGCTTGATAACTTCTCATCCAAGCAATTCTTAACCCTTTCAGGGTCTGTGCCGTAGTACTATAGCTTTGAAGCCAGGGTCCATACTGTAGTACTACGTGATGAGCTCGGCTCACTCAGATAAGGTGTGAGCAGCGAGTTTAGGACTAAAGATGATAGAATGGGTCGATGCAGTAAGTGTGCACTATATAAAAAATCTTGCAGCACACAGTGCATAATGAGGAAAACAACTGTGACTGTTTATTTAAAACGGCAACTTTGCGGTGTATTTTTGTATGGTTTTCATGGTTGTATTCTTAGTTTCTTGGTCTCATTTATAGAATGGAAGATATATTACAGAAACAGATATGATTTTGATGGTTCTGAGAACTCAAAATAGCTTGAAATTGAGTTCAAAGTAGTGGAGATATTCAATTTTTGCCGATGTTCAAGAGCAAACAAATCACGTCACACATCCAATACATATCAACTGGTGGGTCTAATGTGTGTTCACAAATGCGTTGATATTATTTATACAATTATTACAATATTGCATAACAAATCTATTTTTTTTGTGCGAATAAAAAATCAAAATGGAATTCATATGCAAGGCTTGGGAATGTAACTAATGAGCAGATGAAATGTTATTTTAGTGCCAGGAAAGCCTGCATGGTTTATTCTGGACCCTATTTTGAAATTGGAATATTTTGAAACGTGTCAAATTTTGGCAAAATTGCCAATTTCTGATCACTTCATTGGGTAGTTTAAATAGTTGATTCAGCTGTTTTTTGTGCTCCATCGATAAAACAGAAGGCATACTAGCAAAATAGCTAAGAATTTTGTCAACTGGTATAATGCAATTGGCTTCAAATAGGAGTCAAAGCAAGTATAAATCACAGATCCGTAAATATCACTGACACAGCAAAATTTGTGACGGAGTAATTTCATCAAATTTCATACTTTTTGCTTTATCATCTTCAGAAAAAGATTCTCTACCACTTCATAAGAAAAAATAAACTTTTTGGGGAAAATTCTTGGACCCTTTGGACAAGTTGCAGATCAGGGGTCTGGACCCTGAAAGGGTTAAACCTATTATGCAGAACTTTGTGATGAAATGGTATAGAATCCACATTAAATTCTGAAATAACTTACCTCACCTAGGTAGTAGGTTGGTAAACAGCAACCGTCCAGGGAGGTACTACCGTCCTGCCAAGTGAGTGTACAACGAAAACCTGTAATCGTTTTACATGATGGTAGGATTGCTGGTGTCTTTTGTCTGTCTCATAAACGTGAAAGATTTCAGGTTATGTCTTGCTACTTCTACTTGCACTTAGGTCACACTACACTTACATGTACAAGCATATATATACACACCCCTCTGGGTATTCTTCTATTTTCTTTCTAGTTCTTGTTTATTTCCTCTTATCTCCATAGGGAAGTGGAACAGAATTCTTCCTCCGTAAGCCATGCGTGTTGTAAGAGGCGACTAAAATGCCGGGAGCAAGGGGCTAGTAACCCCTTCTCCCATATAAATTACTAAATTTAAAAGAGAAACTTTCGTTTTTCTTTTTGGGCCACCCTGCCTTGGTGGGATACGGCCGGTGTGTTGAAAGAAAGAACTTGCCTCCGTTTCCTTTTGATGTTGATCTTGTGAGAGGCCCTCCAAGCGTTGGCCACACTCCTCCTGTTATACTAGTAGGTTCATTTTGGGAATGCTGAACCCGCACTTTACCTTCTCTAATCATCTGGACAAAAAATAAAAAAATCTCCAAGTAATTAAGACACCGAGTTCTGAAATTAAAATTAGTATTTCAATCTCACACTGAAGCACTCTCCGCCAGACTAAATGGTGAGAGCTTTATACAATATGTTAGGCCTATCATCTTGAGAAACCACAGTATGAGTGGGGCTCAAACTCACAGCAAGAAAGTCTTAAAAACCCAGGTCAGCACATGACTTGCATTTGTGATCATAGTGGGACTCACAGTAACCTCCCTATGGCGAATGAACATACAGTTGGATGACTTATTGTAGCCAGCTGCCCCAGTGGCTTACACACTGGCCTTAAGTTTTAAGACATTTGTTGCGAGTGTGAGCCCCACCCATACTGCGTTTTGTTCGGAATCTTTTTATTATGATTTCATGACCCATCATCTTGAGGTATGTAGCACCAGTATGAAACCCACACCTGACGAAACTAATTAAACTGGAGAATGCAAAAGTAAGCAACAAGATTAGTTCCAGAGGCAAGGGGTATGAGTTACAACAAGAGGTTTGAGGAAATGAACCTAACAACCCTGGAGGACAGAAGGACCAGGGAAGAAAGTATAACGTACAAAATACTTGGAGGAATTGATAGGACAGGGACAGGTTGAGAGGCAAAGCACAGCTGAAGTTAAAAAACACAGACGAGTCATAGGGATGTCAGGAAGTATTTCTTCAGTTTCAGGGTGGCTGGGAAGTGGAATGATCTATACACAGTAGTGGTGGAGACAGACTCCATGACAGATATCCTAGCTCAAATGGCTGGCTAAAACACAGCATCCCCATCCATGATAGAGAATATTGTATGTTTAACAGTAAAACCCTTGAGTGGAAACCTGATGCAGTAACTCCTAATGCCCTGACAGCATCTTTTTCTTTGGCCAAGGTAAAGTGTCTCCTGTTGCCTCAGTGGAAAGGCAACAATACATTACTCTAATTAGTTTTATTATCTCCATGTGGGTTCTTTTGTACCCATGAATGTATACAAGTAAACACTCATTTAATCAACTCGTTAAACCACAAGGCAAGGACATGATATATTTATTCTTTTGCATATCTCTTGTTTCAATATGCTAGCAATGTTCACTTGCATACCTGCTCATTAGCTCGTGAACAGTTAATCTTCACTATACTTCAATAATAACTTAAATTATCTCCCAATATTATCCCACTTGTTTAAAAAAAAAAAAAAAAATTATCCCACAAATACCCATGAGAGCTATTTACCCAGACACCTTCTCTGCTGTGTTGCTTTATGCTGCTCTACCACTGATAATATATTTTCTTTTTTCTCTTAATATTCTTAATATTACAGACCACATGTCCACAAACCTTTGCAAAAGACATGCCAGTATGTGTTGGGTCTGTGGAGGAACTCCCTGGCAGCTCACTATTGGGACTGGTACTAGTTTCACTGGTAATTTGTTCAGTGCCTGCATTTGCTCCATCAACCTCACTGCTGGGTCTGAAGAATATTCACAAGATACATAAAGGTAAATAACACTAGCATAAAACTTTACAAGACCAAAAGCAAAATTACAAACAGTTAAATAAACTGATTGGCATTCAAGTTTAGTAGAATCAGAAATATTAACCGAATTACCAATAAATCATATCAAGAGGAAGACTTGTGGAAGATGTAAGAGTGAGTAGCCAAGGTCTCATAAGCCACTATGGTGTAATAAGTGAACAGAATGCTCTTAACAGCATCACAGATGAACAGTTAAACCTCATAAGCTGCACAATCATAGCTCAAGTTTCCAATGCTATGAAACTTAAATTTACATTTCCAATAGTAGCTCACCATTACCATGTGTTGCCTGGGCAGAATTAGTTATACACTTTACCATTATGAAGCATCCAAGGCCAGCATTTTAGTGTCGGGGAGGCCTAGCATCACTGCTTGGAGTAAAACTAATCAGTCTGGACATACATGAAATGACAGTTTCTCTATGGTTATCAGTTGATTTTCCATGTCATCCAATCTCGTTTCTGGATACTAATCATAGCACTCAAAGTGAAAGTGATATCAGAGGTGCCAGGAAGATGATTATGTGTGAAACTAAAACTTTTAAGAAAACTGTGGTTGACAGTGTGATTGGAGTAAAGGTGGGTGGTGGTTACTGGATCCGGCAGATGGTTGTGCACACTGCCAGTGTAAAAGAATTTTTCATTCTCATGCCATAAATATCAATTTACCTACCCTAGCTGCATTTATAAAATTGTCAAATATGTTGGTGACTGACTATAATGAGTGATGAAGTTATTAAATGAGACAATTCTGTAGTGCACTTGAGTGTCAAGCAGCAGCCACAGCAGTCACTGTAGCCCTTATATGTGGCCTACCATCACATCACCCAATCTTGTCTTCAGATAAAATCTTACTCCCCCCTCCAAAAAAGTGTCAAGGTGTGGGAGGTTGTGCAGGGAGGCTAGTGTTATACACAGTTACACATCTTGTACCTTAAACTGTCGTTTACTGACACTACTTGCATTTGTGCAAGTGTTGAATGTGTTGGCGATTGACAGTGAAAAATATTAAATGAGAAAATCGAGTGGTTATCATTACGTAGTGGTGGAGGTGGCCACAGTTGGCCAAAAGCACCACATCAACCATAACTATGGATTCTGTAACAAGGACAAAGAACAAGGAATGGAAGACAAAATGAAACTAACCATTTTTTGTTTTTTTGCCCTATTTCAAACAAGTGGTAGATGCAATTCACTGTGGATAGTGTTAATTAAAAGTAGTTCATTTTAGTGCTTCCCACTTCTCTGGAAGAAATATACAATCTCCAGTTATTAAGCACTATTGAATGGAAAAAGGCAATTGCAAAATGTCCTCAAAACAGAGATATACAGATGTTGCACATTTGCTTAACTCACCAACCTGTCAGTTTTGTATACCAATAATGCTAAAACTGGAATAAACACAAACCAAGTCCTCAGCAACCAACTTCTCCCAGGCCTCAGAAATAGTGACTGATAGGTAATGTTGACAATTATAGCAGTAGACAAGAGCACTACCTGCCAGTACTAATTTAACCTATTTTTAGCTACCTGTCCATTTCCTTTTTGCTATCACCCAAGTAGCAAATATCCTTAAGAAAATTACGTATAACAAAAATGAACCCAAACAGAGATTTTTTTTTTCTTTCAACACACTGGCCATCTCCCACCAAGGAAGGGTGAACACAAAATTTCACAAACATTCACACATAATCAGTCTTTGCAGAGGCACCCACATACAACAGTTCAGATATTACTCCGAACAGCCAATATCCCAAACACCTCTCTCTAAAGAAGAAATTAGGTACAGTAATTACTCTACAATACGTTAGGGTATTGTATGTATAGGCACATCAAAAGAGGCACATTAGGAACCACTATGTCCAAATCAACATCAAACAATCATTGGCAGTGCTTTGTTTACATTATGTGACAGTACAGACCTCCACATCACTGCAGTGCAAAAAACAAATGCATTAAAAAAAAAAATGAATGAAGTACTAAAGGTTATTTTCCTGTAACAGGAATCCTTCTCATGTAGATGGACTAAGAGCACAGAACGTAAAAATACAGGAAGAGCAACAGAAGGAAGCAAATGACAAAAGAAAAAAAAATTAAGGTAAAGGTGAGTGAATGAATGTAAAAGAGGATAGTTAGCAAAGAAGAAATTAAAAATTCACAATGCCAGACACAATGTACATACAGTGCCAGTATGGAACCCACATCTTTTAAAATAAAGTGAAACTAAGGAGTGCAAAAGAGGGAGCATTAGGACTGGTAATAAGTCAAGAGGAATGACCTATGAAGAATAGGAGAACTGTGTAATGGGAGGCCTGGTCTGTGACTGGGGGCTGCAAGGGTGTTGTTCATCCTTCAGGCAGGCTTCATCTCACTAGAGTGAACAGGAAATATAATCAAACACTACAGACAAAAAGGGTATACAAGGATAAGTCGTTTACAAGGAATACAAAAACAAATGGGCTTGGTAGGAAGTTACACACAAATATGAAAATGTGGGGAATGGATTAAGCAATGACAAAATTGAATTCCACACGAGATACAAAAATAGTTAAAGATATGGCTCGATCAAGTCAGTCGGTTCAAAGTCAAGAAGTGGGACAGTTCAGCATACACCATCCCCCTTTACAAACTCAAATACATACAGTACAGGCAATACAAAATTTCACAATCATGCATATTATTATACAAAATAACCCAGTTTCCCAGTCAATCAAAACCAGTCACACAAGCAAATATTCACAAAAGGAATAGTTAGCATGAGGTATAAACAACTGCTAGAAAAAAAGTGATGAGGATATCAGACATGTGGGTTTTGGAAAGAAGTGCTAGTGTGCAACACAGGTTTGAAGCAAGAGGAGAAAAAGTGCAAAAAGAAAGAAATAATGGGTGGACTAATTTAACAGAATAGTAAGAAACTTACTTTTTCTTATAAGAGGTTTTGATATACAGTATATAAATGATACAAGGATGGCAGTGCATGAACAGGAGACCCAAGGAGTAGTGAGGGAGGCCTCAAAAACAATGAACTACAAAATGGAGTCATCAGGAAATGGGGACATCAGCAAAGTAACCACTTTCAGCAAATTTACATACTAGTATATGTATCGCATCTACACCATCCTCCAAGGACTCGATAAAAAAATGCAAGAGAAATACAGTGGAACCTCAAATATCGAACTTAATCCGGTCCAGGAGTTAGTTCTAAATTCGAAAAGTCCGAAAAGCGAAGCAATATTTCCCATAAGAAATAATGGAAATACAATTAATCCGTTCCAGAAACACAAAAATATTCACACACAAATAATACATTTTATAGAGATTAATTATAGTTTTACATACACAACAAATATAGTGTTCAATTATGTATTAATAGATTTAAATAAACATACAAGATAACATTTTACTTACCATTACTGAAGATGGTGATGGCATCTGGAAGATAGGGAGGAGGAGAGAGGGAGTTGGGGTTAGTGTTTGGAAGGAGAATTCCCCTCCATGAAGACTTCAGGTATCAAGTCCCTCTCTGGGGTTACTTCCCTTCTCTGTCTTTTAATGCCACTGGACCCCTGTCTCACAAAATAACTGTCCACAGTCCTCTGTTTCTGGTGCCTCTAAAATTTCCCTAAAATGGGACATGGCTCTGTCACTGAACTTGTTGCAAAGATGGCTTGTTTCAGCTTGCTCAGGGTGGTACTTCTCCACAAATATTTGGACATAATTCTCTTGGACATTATGTGAACCACGATTAATTGGTAATGCTGGTAGCGGGGAGTAAATGATACATCTTCGGAGGCTTCTTTCTGTATTTGCAATGTAGTGGTGGGTACACAGGCTTGTGTGTTGTGCCCATGGCCCGGGAAAGCCATCCCACGAGAGGAGAGAGCTACTAGACCTTGTGTCTTCCTGCTAGGCCACTGTGTGAGTGAGTGTGGGACCAGCTTCCCACAGACCTGGGCAGGCCCAGAGGGCAGCACCCGAGTGGCACGAAATATGAACTAAGCTGGCAGACAGCATAGGCTGTCTGTGCAGACAGTACAGGCTGTGTACATTCGCTCGGCCACCTACCTCGACAATACTGGTGGTAAAAAAAAAACTCTCTCGTAGGAACAGGGCGCAGAACACAAAATATAAACATACAGTGGACCCCCGCATAACGATCACCACCGAATGCAACCAATTATGTAAGTGTATTTATGTAAGTGCGTTTGTACGTGTATGTTTGGGGGTCTGAAATGGACTAATCTACTTCACAATATTCCTTATGGGAACAAATTCGGTCAGTACTGGCACCTGAACATACTTCTGGAGTGAAAAAATATCGTTAACCGGGGGTCCACTGTATATACATATGTACATGGAAAAAAAAAAACTTCCTACAGGGAGGGAAGCAAAAAAAAACATGTGGGGTGTGCTAAACATCATGGTCAAAGGCAGTGAGCATTGAAGGGCATCACTGCATGCCTTCCTGCGTCTGGACAGATACTGCAACACAGGAGATATCGCTGCGGCTGAGCTGTGACGTAACAGGTTACGGTCTCCTCTGGAATGGTGAAGCAGACATTGTAGGAGTCGCTGCAGGTTTTCACTCAACCTGGGGCACGACATGCTGGTGCCCTTGAGTGAAGCATCGACAAAACTCGGCAACTGGGCAGGACTTCTGGCAAGCGACTCAGGAGGACACTTCTCGACTGGTACTGTCGCTGGGCTGTCACTGCCGGCTAGCGTGGAGCGAGTTGTGGCAGAGACGACTGGGCAAAACATCTGGGAGTCGTAACATCATACACCAGACTGCAGTGAGCGAGCTAGCAGTCAAAGTGACATCATCTTTGTGCAGGCTGCTCACTGAAGCTTGTGACACGAGGCTGACACAGCGCCTGCCGACAGGGCTAACTGCGGCTTGACGAGTGTCATTCTCTCGGCAGTTGGAGTTATAGCAGAGGTTAGTCTAAGCGTCCCCAGACTTGTTTCTCTGCATATAACTGCACTCTGAAGGTCTGGAGGTGAAGTGAAACAAATCTAGATGGGAATCTTAGCAGGTACAATTCTGCAGAACATCACGAGCGACGAGCATAAGAGCTTTCTGCACAAGGGGGCTTGGGCTCAGAGCTGACTGATATCAGCTGTCGAATGCACTGGTCACATCAGGTGACTTAGCACAGTGGTGCTACAGAAGTCTGGCTCAGACCTCACTGGACACACGGAAACTACACACCTGTGGTACATGCGGTACATGGCTTAAACTAGCTAGTTTAAGCATGACCGTGTAATGTAAATAGAATAATGCTTTTCTGTGCACAAAACTGACACTAAGCCATACACTAACATGTGAGAACACTGACTTGAGAAGAATTAATTAACACACGACATATATCTTCTCTCACTCTTCTCGACAATACTGAAATATTTACTGAAACACACGATGTGACATCATGTGATGTCAGGCGTGACGTCGCGAGGTGACGTCAGCAGACATCGAGGTGACGTCAACAGACATCATGAAGTCAGGCAGCAGCATCGGTGACGTCAATGTGATGCGGGAAGCAGACCACAGCATGTGGCCTGGGACATCTGACTTGTTAACCCACGTGGCTTGTAGATCCATGTGACATCGCCCACACCCCAAGTGGAGTCGGGATCCACGTGGTGTCGTGATCTACGTGGCATGCTGATCCACATGGCTTGCTGATCCATGTGGCTTGTTGATCCGCGTGGCTTGCTGATCCACGTGGCTTCGAGTGATCTACGTGGCATGCTGATCCACGTAGCTTCGAGTGGCCTCGAGCACTCTGATACACAGCTCTGGCAATGAATTCACATGGAAAACAGCAGAAAACACAGCAGAGGGAGTGAGTACATAGTGGTGGAGTGTGGTGGTAGGCTGGTGAGGTGTGAGTAGGGCAAGCGTGGGTGAGGCGAGGAAACAGCCACTTCCTCTCCCACCCACAAACACAGGGAGACACACTGGACGCAGAAATCACCACAAAACTCGTCTCTGGCTTGCTGAAACAGCTGTGCCGAGCTGAACAACAACAGAAACATACAAGTGACGCTGAACACGTGACTTGAGAAACAGCATGGGACGCTGTAGCGTGGGGTCACTGGGACGCCACTTACAATTCTCGAAGAAATTCGGCAAATTTCGGCTAGATCCTGCTTGTACCTGTGTCTGGATGCTCAAACGTGCAGACACGACATCAGGATAACTCATTGAGAGACGGATGCTTCTTGTATAGGGTGATAAAGTGAAGATGACTTCATACCTCTTCCTTCCTCTCTCCGGGCAAACACAACTGCTGCGACCACCGCTTCCCACCAATGTGACATCATTCCACTTCTGTATTATTTCCTTCTTCACATCTAGGCGTTTCTCACTTTCTTTACCACAGGGGTACCACTAGCAAGTTTTTTTGAGCCCATTGTAGCTTATTTCACAGTCACACAAGCACTAAATACAATGAAATAATCTTAAAATGTTTGAATGAGAGTGCAGGTTAGTGTTCACTCAAGCATCAACAAAATTAGACTGGCTCACGGCGCCTGCGTGGGTACACGGACAGAGCAGGCTGCCGGACAGGTCCGGCACCCGGCGGTTCGAAAATAGGTGCGAGTTCGATAATAGGGACAAAGTTGGTTCGAAAAAAGGGTTCTATTTTCGAAGAGCTCGATAAGCGATACATTCGAAATTTGAGGTTCCAATGTATCATGGGACATTACCACAAGAACTGATTTACATGCACTGAGCACCCTTAACGTCAGTCTGACTTGTAACTCACTATGACAAACACTCAAGTAAATACAAAGGAAAATATTTAAAAAGAGCTGTAATATAAGATTCAATATCACAAAACCAAGTAAGGACAAGTTAAACAATGTTTCAGCAGTAACAAATATTTCTGGTAACACTAGACCTCTCGATGTCTTACGAATATTTGACTAATCACTCATTTTGCCATCCCAACTCACTCCCATCCCCTCAACCCTTTCCCACTGCAACTAATATAAGTTTTTTATTTTTTTTTTTTATATATTTTTCAGCGAACTCGCTGCTCATCCTAAGAAAAATAATATCCACAATCAAGACTTGTCTAGGCAAGGTGTTCTCTTCACTTTTATCAGTAGCCCTTGTCTTCCTCAATGATCTGAGGTTTTCAAATATTAGCAGCACTACACTAAACTCCTATAATCAGGAGTGAAAAGTTGAAATTAGAAATGCATGACTGAATAAAGATAATTATACCTTGAAGAAAGGTCATCACAAAAAGAGGGAAACTGTCTCAAAGATTCTATCTTAAGATTGGTGGCTCCCTTGCTGCGTCCCATCATGCGATCCTCTTCTGCTTGTACGCGTTTCTCTATTTTTCGTTCTTCACGGGCACGTTTGTTGCGCTTACGTTGTCTGGAATCAATCTGATCCTACAGAAAAATTAAAAAGAACTATATTAGGGTAAACTTGTTTTTAACACGCTAATGGTCTCCCACTGAAGCAGGGTAACCTGAAAAAAGAAGCACTTTCCACTATCACTATCTTACCAGAAGCATGACAGCGATAACGATATATTAGTGACAGTGCTATACTGATAATACTAATTCACAGAAATACCTATACAATAGTTAATTCCATGTAGATATCAAGAATATATTTTTATATGACAATGAAGGTTTACATTATAATACCTCACCATACTGTAATGGCAAACCTAAACTATGCTCCCAAAAAGTTTTATTGAACAACTTTAATGAATGGGCAAGAGATGAGCCCAAGAACTAGTATGTGCTAATGCTACACTCTTAATACCACTGAACCGTGAAGGCTACAATAATATTCGCAACCACAGGGAAGGTAATGAATGCTGCCATGTTTCCCTGCTAATGTGTCAACTACAAGATCATGACAGTGTCTCACTAACAACAGTTCGATCAAATACAGGTCCGCCATCACAAATCCGGCAATCAGTTATTCGGTTCCTTCAGTTATCCGGCACTAATTTCAGCTAGCAAAGCTTGAAATTTCCAGGGTTGCCACACCAACTTGCTGCTACTGTCTGGTGGTGCTGCACAAGTCATTCCAATTTCTTTTTCTCCATTTATTGTTATAACTGGATTACTTTTAGCCCTAGACATGGTTCCAACAAATAAAAGAAATGCGTCTCATTGTGTAAAGCACATACACAGTACGTTGTCCATAAAAGATAAGGTGGCTTTGAAGCCACTGTCGGTTGCCATGAGCTCAGTCTCATGATGCAGGAAAATATGCTTTATTATTACTCTAATGTCAACACTACAGTTTATTTACCTATCACAACTGATCTAAGGACAAACTATATAAATTACAAAAACATTGTAAATACTGCAGAATGAATAATATTTGGCATAATACCGAGCAGTTCGACAAAGTTGTGAAGAGGATATGGGCTACAAGTACCATCCTCCTATCCCTGTCTTGGGGGGCTTATATTAGAGAAAAAGGAGTATAGCACAGGACTGTGATATACATTTGTAATGCACCAAAAAACAAACAAAAAAGCTATTTTCTCTACATAGATTATTATACATAGCAGCATGTGTGTAGAGAACCTAGGATAACCCAAAAAGTTAGACAAAGTGACTTATTTCCAGTACCTGGTTTGGGCTTGACATATATGATTTTTGGTAAATAATTTTTCCTCAATTGTCTGTTGGACTATCTTACTGAAACTTGGGCAATTTATGATGGGAAGATGCTTCTTAATGTACACCAAAAATGAAAGAAATCGGACGATAAATAACCAAGTTCACTTCTCGGTCATTAGCCGCCCTTTAGCAGTATATTTTCATGTTTATATGGTTGTATTCTCATTTTTTTTTTTAATTTCATTTGATAGAATGGAAGATACATTACAAAAACAGATATGATTTTGATGGATTTCCTGACGAAAAGTACCTTGAAATCGAGCTCAAAGTAGAGGAAGTGTTAGATTTTTGCCGTGTTCACATACTGGACGTCGCCGTCCAATGTGTATCCAACTGGCCAGTCTAATATGCAGTCACAAATGGGTTGACATTATACAATTATTACAATAATGCAGTAGTTTGCATAACAGTAAATCATCTTCTCTTTGTGTGAATACAATTCAAAATGGAAAGAAAGAGTAATATAAGAGTGGCCTGGAGACTTGACTAATGAACAGGAAAATTTTTATTTTAGTACCAGAAATGTCTGCATTGTTTTTCTGGATCCTATTTTGAAATTGGCATCTTTTGAAATTTGTGTGAAATTGGCCAAATTTGGCAATTTCTGACCACTTTACAGGGTAGTTGAAACAGGTGAATGGGCGGTTTCTTATACAGGAAGGCCCCGCTTTACGGCGTTTCACTTTATGGCGTTCCGCTAATACGGTCATTTCAAATTATGACCAAAACTCGCTATACGGCTCCCCCCACCTGACTTTCTAATACGGTCACCGCGCCCCACCTTGTTTGTTTACATTCTTCGTGAGCTCAGTAAGCACTAAGTCTCTCCATTTTGTCTGGAAACTCCAAAATTTCAAATGTTTTTAAAAGTTATTTCATATTTTATTATAATTTTTATGTATACTTATTAATACACATCGGCTGATGCGGTCCATTCACTAAGCAGGTGTGTCCCCGTCATATAGATTTAGAATATAACATCTTCACCATAATTCGATATACGTTAAATCACATGTCATTGAATCCATAAGTATTTACACTAAGTTTAATAAACGTCAACATAAAAAGTAACACCCTCCATAGATTCAGAGATTGGTAGCACTGTACTTCCCATCAAGCGACCTCATATCGCTGCGTTTCCCAAATCCTTCATAAATGTTGATTACGTTTTCACATCAATCATCCACGATCAAAGTATATAAAAAACCATTAACTGATTTACACCCTACAATAGACTCACGTCAATGACTGTCTGAAGCCAAAGAACCTCTACATACTGCACACAGAAACATTTTACTCTACACTCCAACCTTCCAGCCGACCCTAACATGTTCTTCCACTAGAACATGATTCACTTCTTGTAATGTCATCTAGTTTTCATTACTCTCTACTGTTCACAACACTTTCAACAAACACATTATTGCTAGAACCTAGGATACCAAAACAGTATGGTAATCGCACCTCTCCTAACTACTCTCAAATATTCAAAACGGAATTCTCTGCATTTATTCACCTACAATTGCAACCTCAGACATGAATGTCCAACAACTGTCCTCAACAGCCTTCTCCTGGCTTGTTTACATCTCATCCGCCTACTTTCACAGCCCATATAGCGTTGTAAACTATCTCTCATACATTCCTACTTTCTGCCTCACAAGGCTACAAATTCTTTGTCTCCACAGTAACTGTATATACATTTTACCTCTATGTTTCCATCATAAATTTATGATGTCATCTCACTTGTGCTAGACCCATACACCACACGTTCCCTCCCAAATATCTGAATACTGTTCACCCCTCAGATGCAAATATCTTTAATGTATTCATCTTTATCACCTATCTTTTTTTGTTTATCCTCTATTAACTTAATATATTTCATGTAATACCTGTTAATTTCTAGTTTGTATGCAATTGAACCAAATTTCCACAATCGCGCAACTTCGCGTACAGAATCTCCCACGTAGCACAGGGGGTTCATCCAGCAAGAATAGCAGCTGTGAAATCCACTTTGTGTGGATTCATTATATTTTAACTAGCGCTCTTGAGCCAAGGACCCGTGCGCATTTATTCTCTATCGAGCCCCATCTATAAATAATTAACACCACGTGACATCACACATCCTTGTCTAAGGCTACTTTTACGGGAAAAATTTCCTCTTTCTACATACTCTACTTGAGCCTCACATCCTCGTAAAAACCTCACTGCTTTCAGTAACCTACCCCTAACCATACACTGCAACATCTGCCCATTGCCCCCCTATCCACCCTGTCATACCCTTTTCCAATCCATAATGCCACAAACACCTCTTTACCTTATCCAAATCGTTCATTATATGTTTCCTTAAAACCTGTCCACACACCCCTACCTTTCCTAAGCCTCCTTGTTCATCTGCATCCATTCTCGCTTACTCTAATTCTTTAAAAATACCATACCTTTACAGTACACACAGACTTATCCCCCAAATTTTTGCATCTCTTATCCCCTTGCTTTATACAAGGAACTATGCATGCTCTCTGCCATCCTAGGTACCTTACCCTCTTCCATACATTTATAAATAATTGCACCAACCACTCCCAAAACTATATCCCCACCTGTTAACATTCAACTTTATCATCAATCCCGGCTGCCTTAACCCCCTTTCATTTTACCTACTGCCTCACGAATCCTCACACTACAACTGGTCTTCCTCCTAGTCAAAATGGATCTCAACACTACAGTTTATTTACCTACACAACTGTTTAAAGGACAAACTATATAAATTACAAAACATGTAAATACTGGCAGAATGAATATATTTGGCATAATCCGAGCAGTTCGACAAATTGTAAAGAGAAGGGCTACAAGTACCCCCCCATCCCTGTCTTTGGGGGCCCTTAATGGAAAAAGGAATTGCACAGGACTGATATACATTTGTAATGCACCAAAAACAAACAAAAAAGCTATTTCTCTACATAGTTATTAACATAGCACCCATGTTGTAAAAACCTAGATAACCCAAAATTTTAACCAAAGTGATTTATTTCCAGTACCTGGTTTGGGTTTGCCAAAATTTAATTTTGAAAAATAATTTTTCCTCAATTGTCTGTTGACTATCTTACTGAAACTTGGGCAATTTATGATGGGAAGATCCCTTAATCACCAAAAATAAAGAAACGGCGATAAATAACAAGTTCATTCCCCGGTAAATTAGCCGCCCTTACAGTAAATTTTTATGTTAAAATGGTTGTTTCTCATTTTTTTTTTTAATTTCATTTTGATAGAATGGAAGATACTTACCAAAAACAGATATATTTTGATGGATTTCCTGACGAAAAGTACCTGAAATCGAGCTCAAGTGAGAAGTGTTAGATTTTGCCTTTTCCCACATACTGGACGTCGCCGTCCAATGTGTATCCAACTGGCCAGTCTAATATCAGTCCCAAATGGTTAAATTTATACAATTTTACAATAATCAGTATTTTGCATAACTAAACCCACATCATTTTGTGAAAAATTCAAAATGAAAAAGATAATAAAAGTTGGCCGAGATTTGGGCTATGAACAGGAAAATTTTTATTTAGTACCAGAAATTTTCTGCATTGTTTTCTGGATCCTATTTGAAATGGTATATGAAATTTGTGTGAATTGGCCAAATTTGGCAATTTCTGACCACTTTACGGTAGTTTGAAACGGGGGTTGAAGGGCGTGGGTTATCAAACAGGCGGTCCCCGCTTTTCCGGCGTTACCTTTTTACGGGTTTCCGCTAAAGGTCATTTTAAAAATTTTGACCAAACTCGTATAAAACGGCTCCCCACACGACTATCTAATACTTTCACCGCGCCCACCTTGTTTTTTACATTCTTCGTGAGCTCATTTAGCACTAAGTCTCTCCATTTGTTGGAAAACTCCAAAATTTCAATGTTTTTTAAAATTTTATTTCATATTTATATATACTCTGATAATTAATTTATGTATACCTGTACTTAAATAAATTTACATACTGTGTGGCATGCAGGTACACATTAAAATCAAAAAAGAGTGTCTATGTCTCCAGACGTAAATTTTAAGTAAATTAGGTAATGATAATAATCAATCGTCTCATTTAAATGTCGTATATTACGTTAAATACACATTTTCATTAATCCATCTATGATATTTTTTCAAAATTATATAATAAACACGATACATAACATAAAAAGATGATAAATAACCCCACAATAGAATAAATAAACATAAATATGAGATGTGGTAGCAGACGACTTGCACAAGCGACGCCATATTAAAAATGCTAATAATAATAATCACCGAGTCTTATTAAATGTTGTATATTACGTTAATATACACATTTTCATTAATCCATCCATGATATTTTTTTCAAAATTATATAATAAACACGATACATAACATAAAAAGATGATAAATACACCCTACAATAGAATAAATAAACATAAATATGAGATGTCGTAGCCAGATAACTTGTACAAGTGATGCCAAGAATAACATTTTTCTAATCTAACATAAGAGAAAATGTTGTTACTGGGGCAACTGTAGAAAATTTTCCTTTCGTATGTATGTAAGTAAGTTTATTCAGGTATACACAAATACAGTTACATAGATTATCATACATAACAACATATGTGTAGAGAACCTAGGATAACCCAAAAAAGTCAGAGTGACTTATTTCCATTGCCTTCACTCAGAGCATCATTTCTTCTCAAAATGATGTTACATGAGAATGGGAGTGTTCTTCTTTATTTATTCTACCGTATCAATGTAGAGACAACCTGTACACAATGTAACTTGTACACAAAGCAGACGTGTACACTTTGTTTACAAAACTTACCTTCGCCTGGTTTGTTTACATAACTCTGCGCCTGTCCTCTCTCATGCACTCATTCTTTCTCTCTCTCATTTATTCGTTTTATCTCATTTACTTACTCCTGACCCTACATAAGACTACAAATATTTTAAGGTAAGTAACGAGTGAACTGTATATACATTTTATCGCTCTGGGATGCTTAAATATCATAGAATTGTATGTGTGGGTGGGGTGGCCTGGTATGGTAGCCTGGCTGACTACCATACATACCACACTTGATTTCTTACAATAAATACTACTTGTCTCACCCTAGATTAAGACTATAAATATTTTAAGGTAAGTAATGAGTGCACTATGTGTGTATTGTACTTTTTTATTGTTTTTTGATGCCTGGTTCTATTGCTAACTTAATATATGTTAGTGTAAACTTGTTATCTAGTGTTTGTATGCATTTGTAAGTGGAAAAAAAGGGTGTTCCACTTTACGGCGGTTTCCGCTTTACGGCGGTAGCCTGGAACCTAACCAGCCGTATAAGTGGGGCCTTCCTGTACTCAGTCGACAGAATAGAAGCAAGTAAATAAGCAAGTTTATTCAGGCATACACAAATACAGTTATAGATTATCATACATAGCAGCATATGTGTAGAGAACCTAGGATAACCGAAAAAAGTTAGACAAAGCGACTTATTTCTATCGAGGTCCTTAAAGACCATTGTGTAGTTGATGGGTTTTAACTCATATTAAACCAGCTAGCCATTTTATATAACAAACCAGCAACAAGAACACATCTTGCAAGATCTGTTCTTGCAAGAGTTGCACTGAAGTGAAGGTTCAGTGCAACACTTTTATAATATAAATCTTGCTGAATTTAAACATCACTACCAAAGGACTACTAGTGAAATTGCTATAAGTTTGGTAGACTGGAACAATGGAATGAGTCAAAAATAGGGCATACATTGGGTGAAATCGCCAATACATAAATATCACCGCTGGGTTAAGTGTATTCTAACCTAGCCACTCTGTAATCCGGCACCCTACAGGTCCCGATGATGCCGGATTAGCGACAGCCAACCTGTACTACCATTTGGTAACTAATTACCCAAGCTAAAGAAAAACCCATCAGAATTATTTTAGTATTCTCAAGTTTCTAAATTAAAAGGAGTGCACATGTGTGTACACACCATTCCTGTATTGTATAAGGAACTAATCTTAAACAACTCTAAACAGTTTAATCCTACCTGAAACATTGCTTGAGTGAGTTGGGACACAACAGGTAACTGAAGACACACTTCTACAACTTCAAAACTGCAGGTAACTGGCAAGTGTCGTAGATATCGCAGACGCATACGGAGATCTTCAGTCATAGACACAGACTCCTAAGGAAGGTTTAGTAAAAATAGGAAGTAAATAAAGAAAATTACAATGGCCAACACTGACAATTTTTCTATGAACAAAATGAAAATGTGAGAAGTTTATGCAGGAAAACTAATGTACAATGGGTAGTTTGAAGTTTCAGCTTACCTTCTCTACCACCTTTGCTCTTATGAGTGGAGGGCAGTTCTCCAGAGCACCATATTCCTGCACCAGCATTTGTACATTAAGAGCATGCAGATAAATGTGTGCCCCATTACTGGCTTGATAGAAGTAAAAAGTAGACTTCGGAGTGTTGCGGTGACTTTGCTAAAAATAAAAAATAAAAATTAGCATAAAAAAAAAAAAGGAAAGTACAGCAAAAATATCCAGTTACAAAAACCAAATTTAATGGACAAAATCTATGGCCAAACATTTGGAAACACTGGGTAAGTCCATTCAATCAAAATTGTTCATTTTTATGGACAAATCTACATTTAATGGGCAATGTCATTTAAATACCAAATTGTTTTAGTGTTGTGATCCTCTGGGTAAATTTTTCTTAATGGGCAAAGTACTGTTGAATTCAAAGCCGTCTTATTACAATTATGGAAAAAACAATCAGAATGTAACCCCCCTCCTCCTCCATATTTGTACATTAAATCAAGGGTTCACTGTACAACATATTAACCGATTAACTGTCTCCAACGTACTGGGAAACAAATGACTGTCCAACGTACTAGTAAGCACAATTTTTTTTGAGTCTTCAAATACACCAATGTTTTCAACCTCAGCACTACTATGTGGGTGGCCTACCAGATGGGTCCACGTGATGCATTGTGGGGTAACAGCATTAGAAGACAATGAAACCAGGACCTGTTTTTCCACCACCAACTTCCCTACCAGCATGCAGGTTGTGAAGCTGTCAAGAATATGCCTTATTCCTTCCAAATTTATTATAATTTCATGATAAGACAAAAAGCACACTATGTAGATTTAACCCAATACATATAGTCAAACAATGCTACACATTTCCACATTTTGATTAGTATTCTCCCCCCCTCCCCACACCAGCCATTTCCTACTAAGGCATCATGACCTACAAAAAAAAAAATCATTTCACTTCATCATTGTCTTGCCAGAGGCACGCTTACACTAGTTAAAAAACTGCAACATCAACACCCCTCCTACAGAGCACAGGCATTGTACTTCCCACCTCCAGGACTCAAGTCCAGTTTGTCAGTTTCTCCTGAATCCCTTCATAAATGCTACTTTGCTTACACTCTAACAGCACACGAGTAATACACCTTGAAATAAATTTAACATCTTAAGATTTTCTTGTAATGTTTTACAGCTGTCGAGGGTTTTTAATAGGTCTGATTAAATTACGGGGACACCATAAACCATGACAAATCATTCCTGCTCATATTTTATTATCCAAGAAACAGTGTTAAAACACCTATTTTTGAGTGATTAAAATTTCAAAACTGAAGGCAGGTATAATACAGGAGAGGCCTGGTGATGCGAGTAATGAGCAGATGAAATGTTTAGTGCCAGGAATATCTATTTTTTTTTATTTTTCAATTTTAATTTTGTGTAAAATTGGTCAAATTACTGACATCTCTGCACTTTATAGGGTAGTTAAAAGTTAAATGGGTAGTTTCTTGTGCTCAATCAATAGAACAGAATGCATAGTTAAGAATTTAGTCAAATGGTGTTATGGAATTGGCTTAAAATAGGACTCAAATTGGACGAAGTCACCAATGCATAAATTGCACAAACCACTAACTTTACGCATGCATAATTCCCTAACCCAATAGTCAATGTGGCTTATATCCATGTTTTGGAGAGTGTTACACCTTGAAACAACTGTAATACAAAAATTCTTTTTTTTTTTTTTTTTTTTTTTTAACACATTGGCCATTTCCCACAGAGGCAGGGTGGTTCAAAAAGAAAAAACAAAATACCAAGGAAAAAAAAAAAACATTCATCATTCAACACTTTCACCATCACTCATACACAATCACTCTTTGCAGAGGCATGCAGATACACCAGTTCAGACGTCCCTCCAAACTGCCAATATCCTAAGCCCCTCCTTTAAAGTGCAGGCATTATCTTTCCCATTTCCAGGACTCAAGTCCTGCTAACCGGTTTCCATGAATCCCTTCACAAAATATTACCCTGCTCACACTCCAACAGCTCATTGTAGTATTAATAAACCAAAGTAGAAAAAATTATTACACAAATTAATACAAATTACACAAATTAATACTAATACAGAGTAGGGGAGTTAGTAGATGGGGAGAGGAGGTATTGGTAGAAGGCGAGAATATTTTGAGGAACTTTTAAATGTTAAGGAAGAAACAGAGGCAGTAATTTCATGCACTGGTCAGGGAGGTATACCATCTTTTAGGAGTGAAGAAGAGCAGAATGTAAGTGTGGGGGAGGTATGTGAGGCATTACATAAAATGAAAGGGGGTAAAGCAGCTGGAACTGATGGGATCATGACAGAAATGTTAAAAGCAGGGGGGGATATAGTGTTGGAGTGGTTGGTACTTTTGTTTAATAAATGTATGAAAGAGGGGAAGGTACCTAGGGATTGGCAGAGAGCATGTATAGTCCCTTTATATAAAGGGAAAGGGGACAAAAGAGACTGTAAAAATTATAGAGGAATAAGCTTACTGAGTATACCAGGAAAAGTGTACGGTAGGGTTATAATTGAAAGAATTAGAGGTAAGACAGAATGTAGGATTGCGGATGAGCAAGGAGGTTTTAGAGTGGGTAGGGGATGTGTAGATCAGGTGTTTACATTGAAGCATATATGTGAACAGTATTTAGATAAAGTAGGGAAGTTTTTATTGCATTTATGGATTTAGAAAAGGCTATGATAGAGTGGATAGAGGAGCAATGTGGCAGATGTTGCAAGTATATGGAATAGGTGGTAAGTTATTAAATGCTGTAAAGAGTTTTTATGAGGATAGCGAGGCTCAGGTTAGGGTGTGTAGAAGAGAGGGAGACTACTTCCCGGTAAAAGTAGGTCTTAGACAGGGATGTGTAATGTCACCATGGTTGTTTAATATATTTATAGATGGGGTTGTAAAGGAAGTAAATGCTAGGGTGTTTGGGAGAGGGGTGGGATTAAATTATGGGGAATCAAATTCAAAATGGGAATTGACACAGTTACTTTTTGCTGATGATACTGTGCTTATGGGAGATTCTAAAGAGAAATTGCAAAGGTTAGTGGATGAGTTTGGGAATGTGTGTAAAGGTAGAAAGTTGAAAGTGAACATAGAAAAGAGTAAGGTGATGAGGGTGTCAAATGATTTAGATAAAGAAAAATTGGATATCAAATTGGGGAGGAGGAGTATGGAAGAAGTGAATGTTTTCAGATACTTGGGAGTTGACGTGTCGGCGGATGGAGTTATGAAGGATGAGGTTAATCATAGAATTGATGAGGGAAAAAAGGCGAGTGGTGCTTGAGGTATATGTGGAGTCAAAAAACGTTATCTATGGAGGCAAAGAAGGGAATGTATGAAAGTATAGTAGTACCAACACTCTTATATGGGTGTGAAGCTTGGGTGGTAAATGCAGCAGCGAGGAGACGGTTGGAGGCAGTGGAGATGTCCTGTTTAAGGGCAATGTGTGGTGTAAATATTATGCAGAAAATTCGGAGTGTGGAAATTAGGAGAAGGTGTGGAGTTAATAAAAGTATTAGTCAGAGGGCAGAAGAGGGGTTGTTGAGTGGTTTGGTCATTTAGAGAGAATGGATCAAAGTAGAATGACATGGAAAGCATATAAATCTATAGGGGAAGGAAGGCGGGGTAGGGGTCGTCCTCGAAAGGGTTGGAGAGAGGGGGTAAAGGAGGTTTTGTGGGTAAGGGGCTTGGACTTCCAGCAAGCGTGCGTGAGCGTGTTAGATAGGAGTGAATGGAGACGAATGGTACTTGGGACCTGACGATCTGTTGGAGTGTGAGCAGGGTAATATTTAGTGAAGGGATTCAGGGAAACCGGTTATTTTCATATAGTCGGACTCGAGTCCTGGAAATGGGAAGTACAATGCCTGCACTTTAAAGGAGGGGTTTGGGATATTGGCAGTTTGGAGGGATATGTTGTGTATCTTTATGAGTGTATGCTTCTAGACTGTTGTATTCTGAGCACCTCTGCAAAAACAGTGATAATGTGCGAGTGTGGTGAAAGTGTTGAATGATGATGAAAGTATTTTCTTTTTGGGGATTTTCTTTCTTTTTTTGGGTCACCCTGCCTCGGTGGGAGACGGCCGACTTGTTGGGGGAAAAAAAAAAAAAAAGATGTTCCAAGTGGAACTATGTCAGGTTAAGCCTTTCTTCCCCATGTTTGAAGTACATACTAAACATCTTGAAAACCGTCTATAAGAAAGTGAAAATGGTGTTAAATATTAAAAACAAAAATTGAAAAAAATCATAAATTGGCATCAATAAATAGTAAAACAAATATTGCTGGTTCATTTATGACTAAGTTAATTATTTTTTTCACCAAATTCAACACCATAAAATCTAGAGTTTTTATCACATTCCACTTATTTGATCTTACTCCATTCATGAAAATGTTCTCTTAATTTGTAGAATTTTTTTCCCCAAAAACTTTGCCACCCAAATTTGTTTTTAGAGTAGGCCACAGTTAAGTGCAAGAGTTAAAAAAAAAAAAAAAAAATTAGATATATTGGAGGAAGCATGGAGGAAGTAAACGTCTTCAGATATTGGAGAGAGGACCTTTCAGTGGATGGCTCTATGAATAACAAGTAAACCACAGAAAAGCTGAAGGAAAAAAAAAAAAAAAAAGTGGCATTCTGAGGCATCTTCAGAAATAAAAATTTAACCATGAGGTTAAAAAAGGGGAATATACTAGGGTATAGTGGTACCAACAGTTACATGAGTGTGAGGTATAGGCTTCAAGTGCTGCAGTAATTAAGGGGATGGAAGGCAATGTGAATTTTTTTTTAATCACACTGGGTCTCCAAGGTAGTGACTTGAAAAAGAAATACTTTCACTATCATTCACTATCACTGTCTTACTCGAGGCATGTATATACCATAGTTCAGATGCCTCCAAATTGCAAATATCCCCACCACTCCTTTAGAGTGCAGGTGCTACTACCCACATCCAGGACTCAAGTCTAACTAACCTGTTTCCCTGAAGCTCTTCACAATGTTATCAAGTTACCAAAACTAATTCAGAGGGCTGAGGCGGAGTTACTAAGGGCATTTGAACATTCGGGGAGAAGTGAGCAAAACAGGATGATGAAGAATATACAGATCTGGGGTGGAGGGAAGGAGGTATAGGGGTTGCACCAGAAATGGTTGGCAGGAGTAAACTAAGTCGAGTGCTAGGAGCTTAAGCATCAACAGGCTTGTGCAAGTGTGTAAAACCAGGAAAAAGGTGGTTGTTATGATGACATGCTGTTGGAGTATGACCAAAGCAACACTTATGAAGGGATTCAGGAAAAATGGCAAGACAACGATGGAATAAGTGACGGTACAAGTTTTCTTTTATGGGTCATCTTCCCTTGGTGGGAGATGGCCGGTGAGAAGAAAAAATATGCCCCAGACAAATAAAAATATTCCCTAAACAAATTTTAGATGAATGCATATTTTCATTTTCAACTACAGCACATGAGGTTTAAACCCACTTCAAAATTTAATAATTGTGCTTTCTGACTTCCTCTTATTCACCTGCAGGAAAACAAGATTATTTATGCATTATCAAAGCAGTCAAGTAACAATGAAAATAATTTACTTGGCAAAAAGAAATACTGCATATTAATTTCAAGTGTAACAAGACATCTTAGACAGAGCAGGAATGTGTGAGCATGTTATATAGGAGTGAATGGAGACAAATGGTTTTTGGGACCTGACAAGATGGAGTGTGAGCAGGGTAAAATTTTGTGAAGGAATCCAGGGAAACCAGTTAGCTGGACTTAGTCCTGTAGATGGGAAGTACAATGAATGCACTTTAAAGGAGGGGTTTGGGATATTTTATGTTTGGAGTGACATCTGAACTGTTGCACCTGATCACTTCTGCGAAGACAGTGATTATGTGTGAATGATGGCGAGTTTCTTTTTTTGAGTCACTGCCTCAGTGGGAGACCGCCAATGTGTTAGAAAAAAAAAAAAGTACAGTATTGAGGTAGGCTTACCTGACCACGAGGAGTATTTTGATTAACTGGCTGCAGTTGTGAAATGTCTAAATCTTCCACAGTAATGGCTGGCTTGCCCCCTTCTGCCTCTACAATGGGTTCTGGTCGAGGATCACCCTGACTGGACAAGTCTCCCAAACTGGAAACAAGATCTGGTGGATCTTCTGACTGATGAACCGTCATCTGGCGAGTGTTCACTTGGGCTAGTCTGTGATAAAGTCTTTGGTTGTCCTCCAGTTTTTGTGTGGTGTTCGGTACAAGTTTCAGAATTCAGAGAATGTTGACGAGCTCGGAGAAGTGACAGGGCCTCATCAATGAAGCAAGCTTCAGGCTGATCTCCCTCTTCTACTAGCTGAGCCTCCAAATCCCTCTTCTCTCTCATGATTATGTGGGTTTGTACCTGTATAAACACCACAATTTAACTTTAAAAGAACAAAAGTACATAAGCACACATGTGAGCACACCTACGCACTCACCCATGCATACAAGTATGCACAGAAGAGGGAGACAAATGGCAAATTTTTTTTTTTTTTTTTCAACAAACTGGCCATATCCCACCAAGGCAGGGTGGCCCAAAAAGAAAAACGAAAGTTTCTTTTTAAATTTAGTAATTTTTATGGGAGAAAGGGTTACTAGCCCCTTGCTCCCGGCATTTTAGTCGCCTCTTACAACACGCATGGCTTACAGAGGAAGAATTCTGTTCCACTTCCCCATGGAGATAAGAGGAAATAAACAAGAACAAGAACTAGAAAGAAAATAGAAGAAAACCCAGAGGGGTGTGTATATATATGCTTGTACATGTATGTGTAGTGTGACCTAAGTGTAAGTAGAAGTAGCAAGACGTACCTGAAATCTTGCATATTTATGAGACAGAAAAAAGGACACCAGCAATCCTACCATCATGTAAAACAATTACAGGCTTTCGTTATACACTCACTTGGCAGGACGGTAGTACCTCCCTGGGCTGTTGCTGTCTACCAACCTACTACCTAGAAATGGCAAAATATTAAGGAAATAAAGATAAGGCAACCATGATGAGACAAGAAAAGGGAAGATAGCAGGCACAGAACTCATAGGGTTCTGGTTGACCCTTTCACTGTCCAAACCCCAAAAATTAATACTGCTTCCAGTGTCCCCTTCAAAAAAAAAATTCTGAAATAGTACAGAACCTTTTCCTGTAGGTACTGACATCAAAAGAATAAAGTCTCATGGAAAACTTACAGAATTATGCAGGTGCAAAGTTAGCAGTCGGCGCAATTGAAGAATCAGCAATCTCGCTCACTTAAAGTCCTATTTTAAGTCTATTCCATTGCTACATTTGACCAGATTCTCAGCTATTTTCCTAGTAAATCTTCCATTCTATTGATTGAGCACAAGAAGCTGCCCATTTAACTATTACACCTACCCTATAAAGTGCATAGAAGTAATTTGGCCAATGTTACACAATTAAAAATAATTTAAAATAGTCCACAATAAACAATGTAGATATTCCTGGTACTAATACATTTCCTCTGTTCTTTAATCACACCCCCAGGCCTATCCTAGATTACACTTTCCTTCCATTTTGAATTCATAACCACACAGACTCACTCTTTCCCGAATAAAATATAACCAGGAATGATTAGTCGTGGATTATGGTATCCCAATAATTGAATCCGACTTATTTAAAACTCATAAAACAGACCAGAGGGTATAGGGAAGATCTTGCCTATCCTCAGGAAAATGAGGAAAATCATATTTCCACTGCTTCGACCCAAATTTCAAGTTAAATAGCCAAGTACTTCTGATCCTGAAACCAACTAAAATCATCCCTATTTCAGGAGCAATGTCTTCCATTCTACCAAATGATACCAAGAAACAGCCAATAAAACCATAAAAGCCATCTTGGAAAACGACCCAAAGTCAATATTTTCAACTTAACACATGGCCAGAGTTTTGCCTTTCCCATCTTGAACTATATAGGGCAGGACTTTTTTTTCATATTATGCACATGCATCTAGGCCAAAATTTACCACTCACGCCTTATCTCAGCAAGCTGAGCTTACGACATAGAACTACAAGAGGAACTCTGGCCTCAATGACAGTTGTGTGTGTCAGCCACTGAAAGGGCTAAATGGAGAAATTGAGAAGAGAGTACAAAGCCAGAAGAAACAAAAATGATAGAAGAAACAGGAGTTGCAAAAATTTTTTTTTTATAAAAGAATTTCTAGAATGAAAAAAAGACTATTATAAATTGTTTCCAAGGCCAGAAACAAGGAATCTAGTAATAAGAAAATCAAATCCGATGAGATTTCATAATTTCAACAGTGTGAACAAAACTGGATGGAGGAGGAATGAAAGAGACACTGGAAAGAAAAAGGAAGCTGAGGAGGAACAGAATAGGCAACAGAGGCCAGTAATAAGACCCAATCATAGTATAGGAGGGTCCTGCATATACAGCTTCCTCTTTTCTGTGTTCCAAGTTTTCGTTGACTTTCAACAACCATTATTCATTTTGTTTGGGGCTTTTACTGCTTTTCCAGTTATTGTACAGTAGTTGCATAAGGAAAGGATGACCAGTGCCATATTTTAACCCTTAACTGTTGCTGATATATCTTCTCATTTTCCACCCGCCAGCGATTTCTGTAGTTTAGGAGGCAGAGCCAGGAGCAAAGAGTACCCTCAGGGAAAGGAAGCAGAGACTGTCAGGAAAGAGCAACAAGCAGGGTTTTGCAAGGATCAGTATTATAATGAGTACTGTTCTATTTTAAGTGAATAACATTACAAATGGAATTGATTCAGATATATCCTTGCTTGCTCTTGTAAAACTTGAGAAAAAAAAAACAGAGCTCCAAATAGATCCGAATAAATGTCAAGATGCTTGAATTCAACCCCCAGCAAATGCTAGGGAAGGAGAAAGACCAGAAATGGGGTATAGACTGAGGAGAGGGAGGGAGGATTGTGGCCTCTCACTCATGGAAAAGGACCTAGTGTGCACAGAACATGGTATATTGCCAGAGGCTCACAACCACCTAATTACCTTAAGCGTCAATGTTCATCTGGCAAATCTAAAAGTAAGTGTTTAGAAACCTCCGCAGTGTCACCCTGGGCCTCTTCACACGTCAGGCCCATCTTGAGTATGAAGCACCAGTATGGAACCTGCACATGGAAACTATAGAAAGAGCAGAAGTATGCAATGAAACTTGTTTCAGAGCTATGAGGCACGAGCTACAAGGAAAGGCTAACAGAATTTAATTTAACAACATTGGAGGATAGAAGACCCAGGGAAGAAGTAATATACAAAATACTCAGGGGAACTGATAGAATAGATAGGGTACAGGCTGATTGAAAGGCAAGAAACACAAGCCACAGGGATATCAGGAAGTATTTTTACAGTCTCAAGAGTAGTTGGGAAGTAGAATGATCAAATGGTGGAAGCAGGATATCTGCAGTTTTAAGAGCATGTGTGATAGGTTAGGAAGGCGAGAACCTGGCAAAGCAGCAAACTGAGGGGAAAGACCAGAAGTTACAACTCAACCCTTGCAACCACATATAGGTTAGTACATACAGGCACATACACAGTACTATACAAACAAATCCATCAAAATTATTGTACTACAGTACAGACAAGCACAAACTATTAGAAAATTAAAAAAAAATTACATACATTTCCACACTGAATTTATTGTATTTCACGCTTTACGTCAGTTAAAAAAAAAAGTGCCAAGAAACAAAATGATGGTAAGCATGGCAACTACACAAGTCATTCACCAAATCAATGAAAAAGAATAGTTTTTCTAACATTCCAGGAAACAATCTTACAGGAAACCACACCTCTTCCTTGGATGCTATGAGCAGTTTGGCATAAGGAGTTGCAGCAGTTGGCTGGCTAATACGTGGAGTGGAGTCTATAATCTCTTGGTTGAACAAGGCTGCAGGCATGGGCAGCAGAGAATCACGTTCCCGACGCATGAGTTGTAGCTCAATTTCCTCACCAATATTAAATTCCTTGTGGCATATGGCAACGACACTGGGAAAAAATATTGCTAAATAATTTTACAGCAATTAAATTCAAAAACAGCAAAGGGCCTAAAATTCTTGAGATGTTTAAGAAGTCCCAAATCATGTTACCATTAATGATAATCTTGCAATACAAGTTTAGCAAGAAATGTATGATCTGGCAGTTAAGTTTACAAATTTATATAAAATACAAGATTTAAAAACATATTTATTCACAGTAATACAGTACATAAATTATGATTTTTGAAAAGCACTGCAAATTGAAGTGCTAATGTAACAATCATAATACATCCAAAACTTTTGGGGAGAATTAAGCTGAGACAGAAGATTTAATTCAAACAAGTGCATAAATAATTCAACACTTCCTCATTTAACAAAAACTGAAAAAAAAAAAAAAATTACTCCACTGTAAGGTTCTGTAACAAGATTTCCAAAATACTCTCCCCACTGCTTAAGAATCACTGAACAATGTTATATTTTCTCTTTACTATGCTTAAGCAACACCAAACAATATTATGACTTTCTCTACTCTATCTAAGGTACCCTCACCTCTTGAGATCCTCTTTGACAACTGGTTCATAGCAGATAGGACACTTCCGCCATTTCTTATCAGAGAGCGCCAAGTAATGGAGGATGCATGGAAAACAGTAGATATGTCCACAACGTGTTACCTGCAATGCACAATATTACTAGTTAAATTCCTAAAGTAAACACGCAGCTTGTCCCTACGATCCCCCCATCCCACAAACCAGATGCTTCCAATATTGATATTCAAGAAAAATAACTAAAATACTGTACATATAGTAGTCTCTCAATTCACACATGAATTTATGCTCCAGAAAGGTGACATGGGAAATAAGGGCATATTCTTGACACCTTCATAAAACCATATTTTCAAGTTTTGTAATTCATGAAAATAAATGTTTCCATGCCTCATGTTGTAGTTTGATATAGCAAGGTGATAATTCATAAAACAGACTAAACATAGCTTATAAAAGACTTTGTAATACAATTTCTTACCAAGCTGATAGCCAAGCTTGAAATGAGCTGAAGTGAACAAATGTATACTTTTGATATACTTTTTATATCCCTTAACCCCTTTACTGTAAAAATACCTGCATCTTTCCTGCATGCAATACATATTTCTACAGTTAGGATGCTGTCTCTCATGCACATGCATGCATACACAGAGGCCAACCTTGGCAGCAATAGGTGGGTAGAGGCAGATTGGGCAGGATGGTGCTTCACATACATGGAGTCTCACTTCCTCGACAAAACTCCAGTCAACCAGTAAGTCTTGGTTGGCAGCATATACAGAATAATCCCCCTGGTCATTCACAGCAAACTGACAGCTGCAAATAAACACTATTAGTACAGAACAGTATTTGAACATAAGCATATAAGCTAACCTTTTTACCGTCTCGCATAGATCTACATATGTTATCACTGCCCTCAAATATGTGCGGGGGTAAATTCTGGCTCAGACATGAGAGAACGGATCTGTGCAGTGGGGGTGTACAGCATAATATTCTGCCGCCCCTCCCCCTCCCCACAAACACACAGTGCTCGATGTAAGTTAAAATAGTTACAAAAACATTTTCTCTACCATTGAATTTTATTTTTAAATTGCAGCACTGACAAGTTTATAATTTTGAAAGGTTGTGAAAGTGAAAGGTTAATAATTAAAACCTTAATGCTCAAAAAAAAAAAAAAAAAAAAAAATCAGTTTTGAAAATTTTCATTACAAATGGTATGGAAGATTTAATAAACAAAAACTAATCTTTACTATTACAGAATATACACAAAACATCCTTTAATAATTAAAAAGACTCACTTGGCTTGCAGATAATGTTCCTTGCTGTACTTAAGGATGTGAGAAGAGTAGCGTCTCACTCGAGACCTGCCTCCCTGGTAACCACCAGAAGAGTTACCCTGCGGTCTGTGGCCCGGACCCCACCAGTTCAACAGGTGAGTGATATTCTGCTTCTTGCCACCTGTGCAGTACAGTGACCCAGATTCCGATTCATTTGTGGTACCCTCTACCTGCAGATGGATATTAAACTTTTTCACAATACCATACATCTTGTGCACAAGCAACAATAAGCTAACATGAGAAGTGTATCAAACTAAATTTAAGCCAACTGGCCTTACCTTGCCACCCATCTTCTCCCTGGGACGGACATACCGCTGGCCCGTCCTCCCACTGCGCCCGGCCACCGGTTTCCTCCCAGAGTCGGGACGGTCAAATTCCCGTTTCCGAGCATGTTGGGGCACATTTTTCTTTCCTCCATATTCTAAAAAGAAAAGCAAAAATAATTAATATAAATTACATTCAACTAATCCGATAAAACATTCAAATATTAAAACTACCATATTACATATACAGCAGGGCCCCACTTCCAGTGGGTTAGGATCCAGGCTACTGCCATAAAGCTGAAATCGCTGTAAAGCGGAACACCCCTTTTTTTTCCCCATTATAAGTTTACATTAACATATATTAACGGTAGAATTTGGCATTAAAAAAAACAATAAAAAGTAAAATACACATAGTACACTCATTACTTACCTTAAAATATTTGTAGTTTTAATGTAGGGCGAGAGGAGAGTAATATTTATTGTAGAAATTCAGATGTGGTAGCTCCCACACCAGCTACCATACCTACACAAAATATATGACCTAAATTTAAAGCGCCCCCTACAGCGATTATTACCAATGACATACCTTGTTCACAGAGTTTAATCATTTCTAAGTTACCCTTAGATGCCATCATAAACGAGAGAAAGACGCTGAAAATGTAAACAAAACAGACGGACACACAAGGGGAGTCACTCGAAGTCAGACAAAATGCATATTAATACCCATCTATTTTTGGTTCATGTACGTACATTTGACAAGCTGTTGAAGCATTTACCCCACAATACAAACACTTACATTGTGTATACTGTAAGTTGTCTTTATGTTAGTCTGGTAGAATAAATAAATACCTACAAGTGAAGAAATACAAAAGGAATAATTTTCTACAGTTGCCCCCAGTAATACTATAGTGTACACATTTTCTCTGGCGTTGGATTAGAGAAAACAATTCTCGTCGTCACTCCGACAAGCCGGCCAGCTACTACTACACATCAAATTTATTCTACTGTGGGTGTATGTATCATGTTTATGTTATATAACATGTGTTTTTACATAATTTTGAGAAAAATATCATAGATGGCTTAATGAAAATGTCTATATTAACATAATATACAAAATTTAATGAGCCCCAGAGCCACTATTATTAAGCATTAGTATTTATTTATTTTTTTAATTATCACACTGGCCGATTCCCACCAAGGCAGGGTGGCCCGAAAAAGAAAAACTTTCACCATCATTCACTCCATCACTGTTTGCCAGAAGGGTGCTTTACACTACAGTTTTTAAACTGTAACATTAACACCCCTCCTTCAGAGTGCAGGCACTGTACTTCCCATCTCCAGGACTCAAGTCCGGCCTGCCGGTTTCCCTGAACCCCTTCATAAATGTTACTTTGCTCACACTCCAACAGCACGTCAAGTATTAAAAACCATTTGTCTCCATTCACTCCTATCAAACACGCTCATGCATACCTGCTGGAAGTCCAAGCCCCTCGCACACAAAACCCCCCTTTACCCCCTCTCTCCAACCTTTCCTAGGCCGACCCCTACCCCGCCTTCCTTCCACTACAGACTGATACACTCTTGAAGTCATTCTGTTTCGCTCCATTCTCTCTACATGTCCGAACCACCTCAACAACCCTTCCTCAGCCCTCTGGACAACAGTTTTGGTAATCCCGCACCTCCTCCTAACTTACAAACTACGAATTCTCTGCATTATATTCACACCACACATTGCCCTCAGACATGACATCTCCACTGCCTCCAGCCTTCTCCTCGCTGCAACATTCATCACCCATGCTTCACACCCATATAAGAGCGTTGGTAAAACTATACTCCATACATTCCCCTCTTTGCCTCCAAGGACAAAGTTCTTTGTCTCCACAGACTCCTAAGTGCACCACTCACTCTTTTTCCCTCATCAATTCTATGATTCACCTCATCTTTCATAGACCATCCGCTGACACGTCCACTCCCAAATATCTGAATACATTCACCTCCTCCCCTACTCTCTCCCTCCAATCTGATATTCAATCTTTCATCACCTAATCTTTTTGTTATCCTCATAACCTTACTCTTTCCTGTATTCCCTTTAATTTTCTTCTTTTGCACACCCTACCAAATTCATCCACCAATCTCTGCAACTTCTCTTCAGAATCTCCCAAGAGCACAGTGTCATCAGCAAAGAGCAGCTGTGACAACTCCCACTTTGTGTGTGATTCTTTATCTTTTAATCCACACCTCTTGTCCAAGACCCTCGCATTTACTTCTCTTACAACCCCATCTATAAATATATTAAACAACCACGGTGACATCACACATCCTTGTCTAAGGCCTACTTTTACTGGGAAATAATTTCCCTCTTTCCTACATACTCTAACTTGAGCCTCACTATCCTCGTAAAAACTCTTCACTGCTTTCAGTAACCTACCTCCTACACCATACACTTGCAACATCTGCCACATTGCCCCCTATCCACCCTGTCATATCCCTTTTCCAAATCCATAAATGCCACAAAGACCTCTTTAGCCTTATCTAAATACTGTTCACTTATATGTTTCACTGTAAACAACCTGGTCCACACACCCCCTACCCTTCCTAAAGCCTCCTTGTTCATCTGCTATCCTATTCTCCGTCTTACTCTTAATTCTTTCAATAATAACTCACCATACACTTTGCCAGGTATACTCAGAGACTTATCCCCCTATAATTTTTGCACTCTCTTTTATTCCCTTTGCCTTTATACAAAGGAACTATGCATGCTCTCTGCCACTCCCTAGGTACCTTACCCTCTTCCATACATTTATTAAATAATTGCACCAACCACTCCAAAACTATATCCCCACCTGCTTTTAACATTTATATCTTTATCCCATCAACCCGGCTGCCTTACCCCCTTTCATTTTACCTACTGCCTCACGAACTTCCCCCACACTCACAACTGGCTCTTCCTCACTCCTACAAGATGTTGTTCCTCTTGCCCTATACACGAAATCACAGCTTCCCTATCTTCATCAACATTTAACAATTCCTCAAATATTCCCTCCATCTTCCCAATACCTCTAACTCTCCATTTAATAACTCTCCTCTCCTATTTTTAACTGACAAATCCATTTGTTCTCTAGGCTTTCTTAACTTGTTAATCTCACTCCAAAACTTTTTCTTATTTTCAACAAAATTTGTTGATAACATCTCACCCACTCTCTCATTTGCTCTCTTTTTACATTGCTTCACCACTCTTAACCTCTCTCTTTTTCTCCATATACTCTTCCCTCCTTGCATCACTTCTACTTTGTAAAAACTTCTCATATGCTAACTTTTTCTCCCTTACTGCTCTCTTCACGTCATCATTCCACCAATCGCTCCTCTTCCCTCCCGCACCCACTTTCCTGTAACCACAAACTTCTGCTGAACACTCTAACACTACATTTTTAAACCTACCCCATACCTCTTCGACCCCATTGCCTATGCTCTCAATAGCCCATCTATCCTCCAATAGCTGTTTATATCTTACCCTAACTGCCTCCTCTTTTAGTTTATAAACCTTCACCTCTCTCTTCCCTGATGCTTCTATTCTCCTTGTATCCTATCTACCTTTTACTTTTCAGTGTAGCTACAACTAGAAAGTGATCTGATATATCTGTGGCCCATCTATAAAACATGTACATCCTGAAGTCTACTCAACAGTCTTTTATCTACCAATACATAATCCAACAAACTACTGTCATTTCGCCCTACATCATATCTTGTATACTTATTTATCCTCTTTTTCTTAAAATATGTATTACCTATAACTAAACCCCTTTCTATACAAAGTTCAATCAAAGGGCTCCCATTATCATTTACACCTGGCACCCCAAACTTACCTACCACACCCTCTCTAAAAGTTTCTCCTACTTTAGCATTCAGGTCCCCTACCACAATTACTCTCTCACTTGGTTCAAAGGCTCCTATACATTCACTTAACATCTCCCAAAATCTCTCTCTCTCCTCTGCATTCCTCTCTTCTCCAGGTGCATACACGCTTATTATGACCCACTTCTCACACCCAACCTTTACTTAATTCCACATAATTCTTGAATTTACAAAATTCATATTCTCTTTTGTCCTTCCATAACTGATCATTCAACATTACTGCTATCCCTTCCTTTGCTCTAACTCTCTCAGATACTCCAGATTTAATCCCATTTTTTTCCCCCCCACCGAAACTCCCCTATCCCCTTCAGCTTTTGTTTCGCTTAGGGCCAGGACATCCAACTTTTTTTTCATTCATAAAAACAGCAATCATCTTTTTTTGTCATCCGCACTACATCCACGCACATTTAAGCATCCCATTTTATAAATTTTTTCTCTTCTTCTTTTTTAGTAAATTTCAACAGGAGAAGGGGTTACTACCCATTGCCCCAGCATTTTAGTCGCCTCATACGACACGCATGGTTACGGAGGAAAGATTCTTTCCACTTCCCATGACAATAGAAGAAATAAAGAGGAACAAGAGCTATTTAGAAAAAGGAGAAAAACCTAGATGTATGTACATATATATATATGCATGTGCGTGTCTGTGAAGTGTGACCAAAGTGTAAGTAGGAGTAGCAAGATATCCCCGTTATCTAGCGTGTTTATGAGAGAAGAAGAAACCAGCAATCCTACCATCATGCAAAACAGTTACAGGTTTCTGTTTCGCAGTCATCTGGCAGGACGGTAGTACTTCCCTGGGTGGTTGCTGTCTACCAACCTACTACCTAAACCAACCTACTACCTAGTATTAGTATTATAATCATTAATATGGCGTCAAGACTAGCGAGACACTTTTGGTGATTTTAGTGTGTACCTGCACACCAGCATAATGTGTAAGTTTATTTAGGTACAGGTACACATAAGTATAATTATCAGAGTATATATAAAATACACTAACATCAAAACACTTGAAATTTTGGAAAGTTTCCAGACATAATGGAGAGATGTCGGGCTCACAGAGGATGCAAATAAACAGTGGTGAACGGAGACCACATTAGCAAGTCAGGTGTGTGTGGGGGGGGGGGGGAGCCTTCTAACAAGTTTTGGTCATAATTTGAAATGTCCATATTAGCAAAATGCTGTAAAGCAAGGCCCTTTTGTATCTTGTTTGTGTATAGAGATTAGTTTTACTAATACTGTACACATAGCATACCTGGAGTACACCTCGAGAGGGTTTCAGGGGTCAACGCCCCCGTGGCCCGGTCTATGACCGGGCCTCATGGTAAATCAGGGCCTGATCAACCACGCTGTTACTGTTGGCCACATGCAACCCAACATGAGCCACAACCCAGCTGGTCAGGTACTGACTTTAGATGCCTGTTCAGCACCTTCTTGAAGACAGCCAGGGGTCTATTGGTAATCCCCCTTATGTATGTTGTGAGGCAGTTGAACAGTCGTGGGCCCCTGACACTTATTGTGTTGTCTCTTATGCTAGTGGCACCCCTGCTTTTCATTGGGGTGATGTTGCATCATCTGCAGTCTTTTGCTTTCATAAGGAGTGATTTTCGCATGCAAGGTTGGTACTAATCTCTCTAGGATTTTCCTAGCATATATAATCATGCATCTCTCCTGCCTGCATTCTAGGGAGTACAGGTTGAGGAATTTCAAGCATTCCCAGTAACTGAGGTGTTTTATGTGCCGTGAAGGTTCCCTGTACATTTTCTAGGTCAGCAATTTCATCTGCCTTGAAAGGTGCTGTTAGTGTGCAGCAATATTCCAGCCTAGATAGAACAAGTGACCTGAAGAGTCATCATGGGCTTGGCATCCCTAGTTTTGAAGGTTCTCATTATCCATCCTGTCATTTTACTAGCAGATGTGATGGATACATTGTTGTGATCTTTGAAAGCGAGATCCTCTGAAATTATCACTCTCAGGTCTTTTACATTAGTTTTTCACTACTGTGTAGTTGGAATATGTTGTACACATACCGTGATATAGTTTTTATTTCCTCACATTTTCCACATCAGAGTAATTTAAATTTCTCATCAGTGTACTTCGTATTGTTTTCTGCAGCCCATTTAAAGATTTGGTTGCTGTCTGCCTGGAGTCTTGCAGTGTTTTCAATGGAGGACACTCATGCAAGTATATTGGTTTTAAACATATGCTTGAAAACTCTTGGTGGGAAATAAAATATACCAAAATACACTGTACAATACCTGCACTTTGGAGGAATGGTGAGGATGATGCAGTTCAGGAGGGTCAAATGAAGTATGAAGTCTGTGCACTCTGGCGACTTTTTTTAGGAGGGGGGAGGGATGAAATCACCCCACCTTGGGAGATGGCTTGTGGTAAACTGTTCATACTGTACTTCATACCAATAATGTCCAGTAGTAAACAACTGTCATGTCCATTACACTTGTCATGGTGTGTAAGGTAAAACTATGACATGGACAATATATTAAGTCAGAAATGAAGAAACCATTTATCATAATTACTGAAAATAAATATTTAAGACCAAATACATAAATATTCTGGAAATATTATTTCAATGTGGCATAATGATCAGTTAAATACATATCAATGCTGAGCAATACACTGGAGAAAACACACAGCATCAAGGGATAAAGAATAAGTATGTACATAACAATAGTTATAAATTTATTAATACTTAATGTATTTGTTTGATTACCAGTAGAGGAACCACATTTCACCAAGCCACCAAACCTGCCACCTGGTAAGTCACTCACGTTGGTTTTTGTTTTAAATTACAAACAATAAAACTGATCGCCTATTAAGCTCCTGATCCACATTCCATTTATAACAAAATTTAAACAAGCTATCAATGTGCTATCAGCTGCTGTCTTGACTAATTCACTCATATTACATAAATCAGAATCACAAGTAAAACTATTCAAAGTATTTTTAGCAGTCCACAATGCATATTTCATTCAGTGACACTGGCCATAAGTGCTAGCAAATTCAGAGGCCAAGAAGAATATTCCTACCAGTTATGTCAAAACAAGATGCAGTGTTCTTGAGTAAGCAACACCCTGGAGGAAGGAAAGGGGAGGAAGGGGGGGGGGGGGTAAAGCTCCAAAGAGGCTCCTTCACAAAACCATTAATCCCACCAGAGCACTGTGACCCAACATCAGGAGAGGCGGCGACATCTCTAGATGTCGTAAGGATATACAAGCTTGTCTTCATAAAATATTTTTTGCATTTCTAATGCTATGAACCCCCCCCTCCCCCTCAAGGGTTCTGGACCAAAATACTGGATCAACCCTATTTTTCTTTCAGTGTGATTATTATTACAATCAAAACTAAGTGCTAAACCCACAGGGGTCATATAGCATTGCTCTTCCAGCCTAAGCTAATTTATCTTATCTTATCCCACGTCTTATTTGGCCCCTACGGTTTGAATATTTTGTTTGGATTATTAACCCCCAAGAGTTAGTAACCCAGGATAATGTAAGAGTGATGTTACACCACCTGGCAGCCTCTCACCTTACTTCCACTGTTTCCTTTATTATTTATTAAACAAGTTTTAACCTGGGACAGTTTAGCACAGTAATCATTGCTGATAAAACACCCGATAACATTCACCTAACAATAATATTGTGTAATATTCATTAAATTCAAGTTATTTACATTTAACGTGATTATTTACGGAGATCTTAATTAAACAATGAAGAAAACAAAGATGACTACTGCGCAGTGGTAAGGTTACACCTCCATCAGTCATCCTTGTGTACTCACCTTTAGTAGTGGTTTCTTGGCCGGTCTTAGCAGGCAGCTGAGGCAGCCTGAGTGCGGCCTTCTTGTCCATGGTAGATGGTGTGTCCATACACAGAGGTGGAGCACGGGACGGAGAGAACTCCCCTAGCACCGATAACACAGCCACCAGACATCTTGATGTTTAGCAAGCCATGTCGTCACACACAAACAGTAAAAATGCTCTGTATCCTTATCGAACACAGGCTCTGAGGTCGGGGGAGAAGGTGCCGAGTAAGAGGAAAGCAAGAGAGTCTTGGGAGCTAAAGACTCCCAAGAAATAAGGCTGCGCCCCGAGGATGTGCTTCACTTTCGTCGCAAGATGGCGACGAGACGACTGGTAGCGTTCACTGTTGCACTCACACTCTCACCTTCATCACACCTCTCACCTTCACTCTACCTCTCACCTTCACCACACCTTCACCACTATTATGCTTATCATTTAAAGTAAATATTTATTAAACATTATTTAAATTAAATTGATGAATGTGTTTTACACTGATATTTTAAATTTCTACACTTTGCAAAAAACTTCATTATTAAAATGGTGATAAATTATAAAGCGCTGTTATTAATGAAACCCATCTGCTATACAAGTATCATACCACATATTAAGTGAGCAATAACATTAAGAAAATATTACACGCTAAAATAAGGATTGAAGTAAATACCTACTAATACATGCACATCTCTACACATATATACACTAACATTGCTTTTACTCGTCCTGTTAAGCAGTTTATTGAAGAACAATAATTTAAAAATATTTCGGTGTTTGAGATATCTTTGTTAGTATTCTGGAGCAGCGTTCGTTAATAAGCAAAACAAGTCCAGGAGGCCTTTACAAATTTAACTTAAATTATGCCATGGACATGGTATTAACATTTCTTTGCATCGTAATCTTCACATACTTAGTATATAGGTTAAAAAATAGTAGAGTCTACCATAAAAATGTCCTCATGCCTGTCGCATGTTTTTTTTTTTTTTTTAATTAACCAAATTTGGTAAAGAGTCCTGTGCGGTGATTCACTACTTAGGTATAGCTTCATTAGGAACCTTTTAGCTTTCTTCCGGACCTGATTCATGCTAAGACTTCTCTTGACTTGTTCAGGCAATTTTTTTCCACTCCTTTATCGCTGCATAATAGGTATTTGAGGCCTGACTGTCTACTACTGTGGGTACTACAATACTGTCTTCACTTAACATAGTACCATTCTGGTTTTAGTTCATAATCTTGACAAACTTCACAGTAAGATATTCTGATCACTGCTTCTGAACATTATAATAAAGATAATTTAACTTCATCCGCTTTACTCTGTCTTCAACATTCAGTATATCCAGTTGTTGTAATTCATCCTGGCCTACATGCTATCTTGGACACAGCTCCAGGATCAATCATTTTCTTCTGGGTGATTTGTAGTTTGTCAGTCATTTATTTGCTAGAGTAGAGCACCACGAAGAACAAGAATAACCTACATAATATTGTATAAGAGATAGATACAGGATTGTGCTGTAAATCTCAGGGTAGACACAGGATTGTGTTGTCTCAGTAGGTAGATACAGGATTGTGCTATAAGTCTCAGTAGGTAGATACAGGATGTGCTGTAAATCTCGATAGTACAGGGTTGTCTATAAGTCTCAGTAGGTAGATACAGGATTGTGCTGTAAATCTCAGGGTAGACAACAGGATTGTGCTGAAGTCCCAGTAGGAGATAAAAGGATTGTCTATAAGTCTTCATAGGTAGATACAGGATTGTGCTGTAAATCTCAGTAGGTAGATACAGGATTGTGCTGTAAATCTCAGTAGGTAGATACAGGATTGTGCTGTAAATCTCAGTAGGTAGATACAGGATTGTGCTGTAAATCTCAGTAGGTAGATACAGGATTGTGCTGTAAATCTCAGTAGGTAGATACAGGATTGTGCTGTAAATCTCAGTAGGTAGATACAGGATTGTGCTATAAGTCTCAGTAGGTAGATACAGGATTGTGCTGTAAATCTCAGGGTAGACACAGGATTGTGCTGTAAGTCTCAGTAGGTAGACACAGGATTGTGCTGTAAATCTCAATAGGTAGACACAGGATTGTGCTGTAAATCTCAGGGTAGACACTGTACCTGTCTGCAGAGGAACTTTAACCTGGCATTTGTTTGTTTTGCTACATTGTTCGCTGTCAGTTCTCCTGACATGCTTGGGTCAGAAGGAATAACCAGATATTTCACTGAAAGCACTGTTGTGATGGGTTCCACATTACGTTGGAGATTAAAAATATTTACTTTTTTCATTATTATTCGTGCCAAATAGTATGGCTTTTGCTCTTCCTGAGGTGTAGCGATAATTTGTTGTCCACTAACCATTTGCTGCAGGATTCTAGTTCCAGTGGGTCTTTACCTGAGACTAGCAGAGCACTGTCGTCTGCATTGATTTAATTGTGTTATCCCAAGTTAAATCTTCATAATGTGTATGTGTGCCATAACACCCGTGCGCCCTCAAGACCACTGAAAATTTTTAAATCATGTAAAAACTTGAATACAAACTTATTTCTTACCTAAGATATCCATCAGGTAGGATGGTTTTCCCCTTATACTCCATCATAATATATGGGCTCCCAAAAACAGGAATGAAATGTCAGCTTGAGCTGGGACACAACACCATGGTGATGAAGATATCAAACACATCACTGTGAGTGTAAAGGCTATGTTAATACCTTCTATACTACATGGTGATCACATTGTTTGAGGGTCCCCGTGTAACACACACGCACACAATATAAATATTATATATGCTAAGGTAGCAAAATACGGATGGATATGTAATGCGTGCAACATAATTTCTAAGTGTCGTTTTCTGAAGTTAATATAGCAAAGCAACGCTAATAATACTAGATGTATTTCGGACGCTGCACGATCCAAGAAAGCTATCCCCGTATTGTGTAACCCAAGTCTCCTCTACACCAATGCCTACGAATGGAATATTGCAATGTCTTCTTTATCTTTTTATCTTTAACATCCTTATCTGTTTCAGTATCTTCAGAGGAGGACCCCAAGGAGTTCTCGTCCTCCTCCTCCTCCTTTTCTTTAAGTCTATCAGCTTCAGTCATAATAGCAGCATCCACAGTCCACCATCTTTTAACTCAGTCCCAATCAGTTATACAGACTACAAAGATGGCGCCTATAAGGGAGAGGAATAGTGTGGCATGAGTCTGTAATACAGTTAAATATTAGCAATGAAGATCTGCAGCTAATTAGAAGAGACATTCATAAGTCATCATATGGAAATCAATATCAAATTTTTTAGTAAAAAAATGGAAATTGACATACATAACCCAAACCTAATTCAAGTTTTCCACTAAGGAACACCAACTTTGAAGCTAAACTGGAGAGGCACTCTCTTGTTATCTCAATTTTCCACTGTTTCATTCAAAAAAGCAAATTGGGACCTACACAAAGTAAAATCAATGCAAACTATTCTCCACGTAAGACCGACCAACTTTTAAGAAAGTAAGTAGGTAAGTAAAAATATATGAAAATAAATAAGCCAGCAGAAGAGCCAGAAATTATGTATGGGTAAGAAGAGAGGCTGAAGCACACTCTGACAATGATACAGCATTAAAAGCCAAATTTGAGCCAAAGTCGCTTTACAGCCACATCAGCAAGAAGACTGTGAAGGACCAGGAAGGTAGGAGAGGAGGAACTCTGCGAGAGGTGAACAAAAAGAATAGTGTACTGCTCTTGGTGTACAACAGAAGTAGTGTACTGTTGTTGGTGTACAACAGAAGTAGTGTACTGTTGTTGGTGTACAACAGAAGTAGTGTACTGTTGTTGGTGTACAACAGAAGCAGTGTACTGTTGTTGGTGTACAACAGAAGTAGTGTACTGTTGTTGGTGTACAACAGAAGTAGAGTACTGTTGTTGGTGTACAACAGAAGCAGTGTACTGTTGTTGGTGTACAACAGAAGCAGTGTACTGTTGTTGGTGTACAACAGAAGCAGTGTACTGTTGTTGGTGTACAACAGAAGCAGTGTACTGTTGTTGGTGTACAACAGAAGCAGTGTACTGTTGTTGGTGTACAACAGAAGCAGTGTACTGTTGTTGGTGTACAACAGAAGCAGTGTACTGTTGTTGGTGTACAACAGAAGTAGTGTACTGTTGTTGGTGTACAACAGAAGCAGTGTACTGTTGTTGGTGTACAACAGAAGCAGTGTACTGTTGTTGGTGTACAACAGAAGCAGTGTACTGTTGTTGGTGTACAACAGAAGCAGTGTACTGTTGTTGGTGTACAACAGAAGTAGTGTACTGTTGTTGGTGTACAACAGAAGCAGTGTACTGTTGTTGGTGTACAACAGAAGCAGTGTACTGTTGTTGGTGTACAACAGAAGCAGTGTACTGTTGTTGGTGTACAACAGAAGCAGTGTACTGTTGTTGGTGTACAACAGAAGCAGTGTACTGTTGTTGGTGTACAACAGAAGCAGTGTACTGTTGTTGGTGTACAACAGAAGCAGTGTACTGTTGTTGGTGTACAACAGAAGTAGTGTACTGCTCTTGGTGTACAACAGAAGTAGTGTACTGTTGTTGGTGTACAACAGAAGCAGTGTACTGTTGTTGGTGTACAACAGAAGCACTGTACTGTTGTTGGTGTACAACAGAAGTAGTGTACTGTTGTTGGTGTACAGCAGAAGCAGTGTACTGTTGTTGGTGTACAACAGAAGCAGTGTACTGTTGTTGGTGTACAACAGAAGCAGTGTACTGTTGTTGGTGTACAACAGAAGCAGTGTACTGTTGTTGGTGTACAACAGAAGCAGTGTACTGTTGCTGGTGTACAGCAGAAGCAGTGTACTGTTGTTGGTGTACAACAGAAGCAGTGTACTGTTGTTGGTGTGCAACAGAAGCAATGTACGTTGTTTGTGTACAACAGAAGCAGTGTACTGTTGTTGGTGTACAACAGAAGCAGTGTACTGTTGCTGGTGTACAGCAGAAGCAGTGTACTGTTGTTGGTGTACAACAGAAGCAGTGTACTGTTGTTGGTGTACAACAGAAGCAGTGTACTGTTGTTGGTGTACAACAGAAGCAGTGTACTGTTGTTGGTGTACAACAGAAGCAGTGTACTGTTGCTGGTGTACAGCAGAAGCAGTGTACTGTTGTTGGTGTACAACAGAAGCAGTGTACTGTTGTTGGTGTGCAACAGAAGCAATGTACGTTGTTGGTGTACAACAGAAGCAGTGTACTGTTGTTGGTGTACATCAGAAGCAGTGTACTGTTGTTGGTGTGCAACAGAAGCAATGTACGTTGTTGGTGTACAACAGAAGCAGTGTACTGTTGTTGGTGTGAAACAGAAGCAGTGTACTGTTGTTGGTGTTAA